TGCCGCCACCTCTCCGATCTCCGTGCCCACGACTGCCGCCGCCGCCGCTGTTACCCCCGCCCCGCCTGCAGAGGGCGCTCCCAGCAGCCCACCCAGCGCAAGCCCCGCCCCTGGACCCTCTGTGCCCCGCCCCCAGGACAAAACCAGGAAGAAGAAGATGTCAGATGAGGAGATACTGGAGAAACTACGTAAGTCTTTTACACCTCCTTCCTTCCTTCCTTCCCTCCTTCCCTCCTTCCTTCCTGGTTAAATTTGACTCCTCATATTAAAAGTCACTTCATAGAGGAGCTCAGGTTTGATTTGAGCTTCAGTGAAGACCACGTCAACGACCTCAGCTCTGTCTGACACCCTGCGGATGGACCACAAGGCCGTCCTCAGGGTCCGTCACCCTTCAGACTCTGAACCAGGAGGTGATCCGGGACACGATCACGATCCGGTCCCGATCCTCTTTGATCCAGAACTGCAGAGACTTTAAATCTGTAAAGTTGGAGGTCTGTAACACCTGCAGGAGGACAAAAGCGTCGCACACGTGTGTCTCTAAATTGTGATTAGATTCAAAAATACCAGCAGGAATATTTTTCTGTTTATTCTGTGAACCAGACACAAACACAGACACAAACACAGACACAAACACAAACACAGACACAAACACAGACACAAACACAAACACAGACACAGACACAAACACAGACACAAACACAGACACAAACACAAACACAGACACAGACACAAACACAGACACAAACACAGACACAAACACAGACACAGACACAAACACAGACACAAACACAGACACAAACACAAACACAGACACAAACACAGACACAAACACAAACACAGACACAAACACAAACACAGACACAAACACAAACACAGACACAAACACAGACACAGACACAAACACAAACACAGACACAAACACAAACACAAACACAGACACAAACACAAACACAGACACAAACACAGACACACACACAGACACAAACACAGACACAGACACACACACAGACACACACAGACACAAACACAGACACAAACACAGACACAGAAACAAACACAGACACAAACACAGACACAAACACAGACACAAACACAGACACAAACACAGACACAAACACAGACACAAACACAGACACAAACACAAACACAGACACAAACACAGACACAAACACAGACACAAACACAGACACAAAAACAAACACAGACACAAACACAAACACAGACACAAACACAGACACACACACAGACACACACACAGACACAAACAGAAACACAGACACAAACACAGACACACACACAGACACACACACAGACACAAACACAGACACACACACAGACACAAACACAGACACACACAGACACAAACACAGACACAAACACAGACACAGAAACAAACACAGACACAAACACAGACACAAACACAGACACAAACACAGACACACACACAGACACAAACACAGACACAAACACAGACACAGAAACAAACAGACACAAACACAGACACAAACACAAACACAGACACAAACACAGACACAGACACAAACACAGACACAAACACAGACACAAACACAGACACAAACACAGACACAAACACAGACACAGACACAAACACAGACACAGACACAAACACAGACACAAACACAGACACAAACACAAACACAGACACAAACACAGACACAAACACAAACACAGACACAAACACAGACACAGACACAAACACAGACACACACACAGACACAAACACAGACACAGACACACACACAGACACACACACAGACACAAACACAGACACAAACACAGACACAGAAACAAACACAGACACAAACAGAGACACAAACACAGACACAAACACAGACACACACACAGACACAAACACAGACACAAACACAGACACAAACACAAACACAGACACAAACACAAACACAGACAAACACAGACACAAACACAGACACAAACACAAACACAGACACAAACACAGACACACACACAGACACAAACACAGACACAAACAGAAACACAGACACAAACACAGACACAAACACAGACACACACACAGACACACACACAGACACAAACACAGACACACACACAGACACAAACACAGACACACACACAGACACAAACACAGACACAAACACAGACACAGAAACAAACACAGACACAAACACAGACACAAACACAGACACAAACACAGACACACACACAGACACAGACACAAACACAGACACAAACACAGACACAGACACAAACAGACACAAACACAGACACAAACACAGACACAAACACAGACACAGACACAAACACAGACACAAACACAGACACACACACAGACACAAACACAGACACAAACACAGACACAGACACAGACACAAACACAAACACAGACACAGACACAAACACAAACACAGACACAAACACAGACACACACACAGACACAAACACAGACACAGACTCGCTCAGATAAATGAACATAAGTTGGCGTGAAGAACGCCAAACGAAGAAAAAACAACAAAACTAAAAAACTGGACGTTACTTGAGTGAAAAGAAACTAGAAACTGTTGAATAAACACACCATGAAAACTAAAGTACACATATAATCAATAAATGATGGAGAAATCAATAATCAGCCAACAGACACCGACCTCTGCTCCAGGGATGATCACAGAAAAGGAGAGAAGTGAGGAGGTGACCTCAAAGAAACCAACGAAGAAGAAAAGGACAGGAAGAGGGAGGCTGCACAGAAACATAATTTTAGTGATTATAAAGAAAAATAATCTGTGAATGAAACTCTGTCACACACTGCATCATGGGAAATGTATTTCAGATTCTGTTGTGTCTCACCAGGAGGTTAGACGTCTGAAAAGTCTGAAAAAAAGGTTAAATTTAGGAGATTTCATCAGAATCTGAGGAATCAAAGATGAAACTCTCGAACTGTTCGACTCTCCTCCGATGGTTTTAAAGTTTTAACGTGTTTTCCATCGAACATTTCTCACTGAAGTTTCAGATTTTTCTCTTTCTGAGAAGATCGAACAAACTCCTCTGAACCGCGTCTCTGAACCGATCTTTCTCTCCCCGGAGGATCGGCAGTTTTCTGGAGTTCATGGAGTCCGTTTAGTCTCCGAGCGCTAATTTTAGTCTCATTTACACTCGGCTGTTCGACAGCCTGTTTCATCACCTCCTCTCTTTATGCACACTCACAGTTTCTCTCGCTCACGCTGCAGGATGTGGATTTATTTTGGGCTCAGCTGGGCCGAACGCGTTTCAGAAACAGTTTCTTCTCTTTAAAAAACAGCTTTAGTGTTTTTACTCTGCAGAGTTCAGACATGACGAGAAGAAACAGGAGGAATCATGAAAACAATGAAACCTGAACGTGGTTTGATTATCCCACCCTTTCCCTCATCATGTGGTTTTATAATTAATTAAAAAAGTCTAATATTCATGCAGAAGTAAAGGTGATTAACTCAGAGGACCTGAGGATCGTTAAACGTGTTCAGGAGGAAATAAGAGTCCAGTTTTGGTGGATCAGGATCACATTCAGACTCAGTTTTCATGGTGGACACACGTCGAGTCTGATGGATCTAACACGCCCCCTAAAATAAAGAGACATGAACTGAAGCGGGATTTATCTGAAGACTCTCTTATGTAAGCGCTCTGTCTCTCTGTGGCGTTAAAATCTTGATTCTATCTCCGTCATGTGGGACCCTGTTGGTCCATGACTTCATCTGTTCTGTCGTGTTTGGATCAAACTGCCTCAGAGTGAAGACCAAACAGGAAGATTTCTCCTGAAATTAAACTCAATTATCAAAGTATTTGACTCCTCAGGAAGCCCCTCCCCCCCGTGGTCCTCGGAGGTCCGTCAGCCTAAATCCCTCTGAGGGTCGTTCAGTCATTTCGCCTGTGGTCCTCGGAGGTCCGAGACGATCTTCATGTTTTTAAAGTTTCATCGATTTAACGCTCAAGTCTCAGAGAACTGACGGTCCTCTGTGTTATTAAAAAAGACTGATGTCTTTAGGAGCCAACGTCAAAACGCCTGAAACCTGCAGTTCTACTCATGGCCAGCAGGGGGAAAAACCTCAGAGGATCCAGTTAAAATGATCGTCCCAGCAGACGAGTCCACGTCTGAATCTGATCCGGTTAAATTTATCGATTTAGAGAAAAGAGTCAGGAGAGAAATAAACCGTCTGTTGTTCTGAAGTTAACGAATCATCAGGATTAATTTTAGAGTCACATGACCCCGACAGCGCCGTCCTGATGTGTCCCTCTCTGACTGAACTGTGTCCTGATGTGTGTGTGATCAATAATCCTAACCTGTGGGTGAATTAAAGCCTGTATATATTTTTTAAACCATGCCCCACGACTGTCCAGATGTGCTCAGATCTCCCTCTGCTGGTAAGACCAGGATACTGCCTGTCTGTCTCTCTGATTGACAGACCTGATATCCACTGTCCCCGCCCCTTTGCTCTCCAATCCTCACGTCTGATTCGTCTCTCTCTCTCTCTCTCTCTCTCTCTGTTTTTCTTCTCCTTCTTGTTTTTCGTTTTTGTTTTTTCTTTTACTTTTCCATCTTCTCGTTGTTCTGGAGCTCTTCAGTTTCTTCTTCTCCTCCTCTGTTTCTTCTCTCCGTCTCCTCCTCTTCTTCTCTCTCTCCCAGTCCGCATGCTGCATTGACCTGAGTGTGATGAATACCGTAGAGTAGAAGCTGAATGAATAGAGACAAACTTCTCTATCCATTCAGATCCAGTGATGCTGAACTCTCAGACTTAGATGTCGTATAAAAACTCATTTCTTCTGTTTATATTTGATCAAGTTTTGATGGTCCAGATGTTTGGAGGAGCCGAGGGTCCTCCTGGAGATCCATGGACGTCTCTCTGTTTTGTTCTGGGACTCAGTTCTGGTCTTTCTCTCCTCTGTCTCAGGGACGATCGTAAGTGTCGGAGACCCCAAGAAGAAATACACTCGCTTTGAGAAGATCGGACAGGGGTGAGTCTGGACCTGCTGTGGCTGAGTCCACGTGTGTGTTTCTGACAAACTCAGAGTATGATCCACGGTTTTCAGCCTGTTTCATATCTTCTTCTTCTTCTTCTTCTTCTTCTTCTTGGTCTAATATTTACTAAAACGTCTCTGTACATGAAGTTTATTTACTCTGAAACATGACGGTGTGACGTGGCGCCCTCTGTTGGAGAGAAAAGGCTGAATTAAAGTTGAACTAAATCAAAAATCTGCTTTATTTCCGGGTCATTATCGTCTGATTGAAACTCACTTCTGAATGTTGTTTTCATGTCTAACAGGTCTGCTCTGATTGGTGTTCACTCTAACCTTTCCTGTCTGACCTTCAGTCACCTGGACGATCGTTTTACTGTCGTCTCTTTAACTTTAATCACTTTGTGGTTTTTTTAGGGCATCTGGGACCGTTTACACGGCGATCGACATCGCGACAGGACAAGAGGTGAGTATCCTGGTTTATCGTGCGAATTTATCGTGTTTTCAGTTCAAGTACCAAATTTCCTCTCTGACCTCCTCGTCCCTCTTTCCTCTCAGGTCGCCATCAAACAGATGAACCTGCAGCAGCAGCCGAAGAAGGAGCTGATCATCAACGAGATCCTGGTGATGAGGGAAAACAAGAACCCCAACATCGTCAACTACCTGGACAGGTACAACACGCACACACGCACACAGACACGCACGCACGTCTTTTTAATATTTTATACAACAACAAACATATCAATGAAAGTGAAGACATATTTAACCAGATGAAGCTGCAGGAGCGTAGGAGCTTCTTCGAGGAGTCGAGGTTCAGGATCTTTGAAACTTGAGTTTCTACCTGATGGTCCAAAAACCTTCAGAGGAAGTAGGAAGAGCTTCTTTTAAAGAGGGTCTGTGGTTCTGAGCGTGACCCTCCTCAGTATCTCCTCCTGTTCATGTCTCATTGAAAAACAAAGTAAGACAAACTCTGAGATGACTGTTGGAGGACGTAACACGGCAGCAGCATCATTTCAGCTCCACACTGACTCCTCTGAGGAGAATCACCTCCTTCCTCAGAAACTAAACATCAATATATCAGAGAGAATTCATCGATGAGTAAAGACAGAAACAGGATTATCTAACAAACAGATGATTCCTACATATCCTCCTGCCAACCCGCCTTCAAAACTCCAGGATTATTTTTATCTTCTCTGGATCCTCCGTCAGCTGAGATCCTTCAGTTTTCTAAAAACCTGCAGCAGGTGAAGAAGAGCTGAGGAGTTCAAACCTGGAAACCTTAAAAACAGCTCCGCTCTGTGAAAACATCACCGAGGAGACGCCTCTGAAGACCGAGACACGAGGAGGAGAGGCTGTACGGTCCAGCTGTCGCCATGACAACCACCTAAACATGCAGGAGGAGGGGGGTCTGGTTACCGTGGTTACCCATTAGTCTTGGGAGACATTGAGGGGGGGCATACATGATGGAGGATAATACTGTTGTCGCCGTGGAAACAACATTTCAACCGTCAGTGATTAACGTGTGTGTGTGTGTGTGTGTGTGTGTTTATTTGTGTGTGTGTGTGTGTGTGTGTGTGTGTGTGTGTGTGTGTGTGTGTGTGTGTTTGTTGTGACTGTAAATCTTGGTTCCCACTCACACTCCTGTAACGATGTGTTTCTCCTGCAGTTACCTGGTGGGTGACGAGCTGTGGGTGGTGATGGAGTACCTGGCTGGAGGTTCGTTGACTGACGTGGTCACAGAGACCTGCATGGATGAAGCTCAGATCGCTGCCGTGTGCAGAGAGGTGAGGAACACCAGGAGCTGAGATCTCAAACTCCTCTAATGAAGATCTGAAGATCTGTCCAAACATGAAGATCTGTCCTAACATGAAGATCTGTCCTAAGATCTGTCCTAACATGAAGATCTGTCCTAACATGAAGATCTGTCCTAACATGAAGATCTGTCCTAACGTGAAGATCTGTCCTAACATGAAGATCTGTCCTAAGATCTGTCCTAACATGAAGATCTGTCCTAACGTGAAATCTGTCCTAACATGAAGATCTGTCCTTACATGAAGATCTGTCCTAAGATCTGTCCTAACGTGAAGATCTGTCCAAACATGAAGATCTGTCCTAAGATCTGTCCTAACGTAAAGATCTGTCCTAACATGAAGATCTGTCCTAACATGAAGATCTGTCCTAACATGAAGATCTGTCCTAACGTGAAGATCTGTCCAAACATGAAGATCTGTCCTAAGATCTGTCCTAACGTAAAGATCTGTCCTAACATGAAGATCTGTCCTAACGTGAAGATCTGTCCTAACATGAAGATCTGTCCTAACATGAAGATCTGTCCTAACATGAAGATCTGTCCTAAGATCTGTCCAAACATGAAGATCTGTCCTAACATGAAGATCTGTCCTAACGTGAAGATCTGTCCTAACATGAAGATCTGTCCTAAGATCTGTCCTAACATGAAGATCTGTCCTTACATGAAGATCTGTCCTAAGATCTGTCCAAACATGAAGATCTGTCCTAACATGAAGATCTGTCCTAACGTGAAGATCTGTCCTAAGATCTGTCCTAACGTGAAGATCTGTCCTAAGATCTGTCCTAACGTGAAGATCTGTCCAAACATGAAGATCTGTCCTAAGATCTGTCCTAACGTAAAGATCTGTCCTAACATGAAGATCTGTCCTAACATGAAGATCTGTCCTAACATGAAGATCTGTCCTTACATGAAGATCTGTCCTAACATGAAGATCTGTCCTAACGTGAAGATCTGTCCAAACATGAAGATCTGTCCTAAGATCTGTCCTAACGTAAAGATCTGTCCTAACATGAAGATCTGTCCTAACGTGAAGATCTGTCCAAACATGAAGATCTGTCCTAACATGAAGATCTGTCCTAACATGAAGATCTGTCCTTACATGAAGATCTGTCCTAAGATCTGTCCAAACATGAAGATCTGTCCTAACATGAAGATCTGTCCTAACGTGAAGATCTGTCCTAACGTGAAGATCTGTCCTAAGATCTATCCTAACATGAAGATCTGTCCTTACATGAAGATCTGTCCTAAGATCTGTCCAAACATGAAGATCTGTCCTAACATGAAGATCTGTCCTAACGTGAAGATCTGTCCTAACGTGAAGATCTGTCCTAAGATCTGTCCTAACGTGAAGATCTGTCCTAACGTGAAGATCTGTCCTAACATGAAGATCTGTCCTAAGATCTGTCCAAACATGAAGATCTGTCCTAACGTGAAGATCTGTCCAAACATGAAGATCTGTCCTAACATGAAGATCTGTCCTAAGATCTGTCCTAACGTGAAGATCTGTCCTAAGATCTGTCCTAACATGAAGATCTGTCCTAACATGAAGATCTGTCCTAACGTGAAGATCTGTCCTAAGATCTGTCCTAACATGAAGATCTGTCCTAACGTGAAGATCTGTCCTAACATGAAGATCTGTCCTAACGTGATCCTCCTGTCTCTCCTGTGTCTGCAGTGTCTCCAGGCGCTGGAGTTTCTCCACTCCAACCAGGTCATCCATCGAGACATCAAGAGTGACAACATCCTGCTGGGCATGGACGGCTCCGTCAAACTCAGTCAGTCCAACTCTCACCCTCTCACCCTCTCACCCTCTCACTCTCTCACCCTCTCACTCTCTCACCCTCTCACCCTCTCACTCTCTGTCTGATGCTGTACTGGGGCTCCCTGCTCTCAGCTGAGGTCTGTTGTTGTAGTGTCTCAGACCTGCCAGCAGGAGGAGCTCTGAGTCTTTGTTGGAGGCTCAGCAGAGAGGATCGACTCCGACCTGTTTGTGTTTGAGATAAAACTGTCTTAAATTTTAAACTTGATCTGAAGACAGACCTGCAGCTGGAGTCTGTCAGATATCTCTGAACCGTTCTGATCGGACCTGTTTTCAGGTTGGACTTGTAGATCAGACTCAGTGAAATAATCATGTCGTCCTCTCCTCTCCTCCTCTCAGCTGACTTTGGGTTCTGCGCCCAGATCACACCAGAGCAGAGTAAACGCAGCACCATGGTCGGGACTCCATACTGGATGGCCCCAGAGGTCGTGACCCGTAAAGCCTACGGACCCAAAGTGGACATCTGGTCTCTGGGCATCATGGCCATCGAGATGGTGGAGGGAGAGCCGCCGTACCTGAATGAGAACCCACTCAGGGTGAGACTCTGTTACTGAAACATTATGATAATATACATATGGACATATATGTTATAACATTATAAAAAAATATAAATATTGTAAAATTGTAAAAATATACATATATAAATATGATAACATTATAAAAAAAATATATAAATATGATAACATTATAAAAATATATATAAATATGATAACATTATAAAAAAATATATAAATATGATAACATTATAAAAATATATATATAAATATAATATCATAAAAAATACATATAGACATATTTATTATAACATTATGAAAATAAAAATATAAATATGATAACATTATAAAATATATATATGGATATTATAACAAATACATTTATATTTATAAACATAAGAGTAAAAAAATTACATATATAAATATAATAACATAAAAATATACACACATATATATTATAATATAAAAATTATATGTATATATAAATAAATATTATAACATTTTAAAGATATATCAAAAAATTATAACATAAAATATACATTTATAAATATAACATTATAAGAATATAAATATATATATTTTTAAAAATCATAAAATATCCATATATAAGTATTATAACATAAATTTGTAGGATTAAAACTCCGACAACAAAAGACAGGATCAGAAATCAGTCAAACGGATCTAAAGATCTCAAACCTCACAGATGTTTTCTTCACCTGTGAACACCTGGATGATGTCACAGATATCACAGAGTTTTAGTTACTAATCAGGACTGAAGATTAGGAGCTGTCTCAGTATCTCTTCATATCACCACTAGATGGCAGCAATCAATAACCAAAGGATCAATAATCCTTTCAGCCTGTGCTAAACTAAAGAAAGTGCCTCGTGGGTTATTGGCTCATTCATTCATCGTGTGTTTTGCGTAGGCGCTGTATCTCATAGCGACAAACGGGACGCCGGAGCTGCAGAACCCCGAGAAACTGTCGACGACCTTCAGAGACTTCCTGAACAGATGTTTGGAGATGGACGTGGAGAAGAGAGGGTCGGCCAAAGAGCTGCTGCAGGTACAGCAGAGTGTGTGTGTGTGTGTGTGTGTGTGTGTGTGTGTGTGTGTGTGTGTGTGTGTGTGTGTGTAAGTCAAATTAAGCCGCAGGCTCCACTCCTGGTGGTGCCCTTCCGTCAATTCCTTTAAGTTTCAGCTTTGCAACCATACTCCCCCCGGAACCCAAAGACTTTGGTTTCCCGGACGCTGCCCGGCGGGTCATGGGAATAACGCCGCTGTTTTTATCATGAACACAAACTTCTGTCAGTCGATTCCTGCTGAGAAACTGAAGCTCATGTTGTTCACCAGCTCAGAGTCTGACTCACAGTCTGGACCTGTGTGTGTGTGTGTGTGTGTGTGTGTGTGTGTGTGTGTGTGTGTGTGTGTGTGTGTGTTCACACTCACCTGCTGCTCTGGATGATGACTCACTTTCACATTTTCAACAAACTAAAAAAAACTGAGTTTTTATTTTCCAAATTAAATGTTGAAGAAAACCTCCTCACAGTCGCCGCTGCCGCCTTCGCCCCCGTCCAGGACTTCTGTGATCTCTCGTATAAACACGTCTCTGTTCGATATCATCATCTGATCGATACAGATCAATATAATGATAACACTTTGTTTATACAGACCTTTAATATAAGTCCAGGTGGGCCATGACCAACAGTAAAACTCTCATTATAAGGCGGCTCCTGACCTGCTGAGTTTTAATCCCAGAAAAGGATTCAGTCCATAAAGCTCGTACAGACATTGGTGAAAGGGATTATGGGTATTTTGCGGCCTCAGCCTGACGTCAGCAGAATAAACGAGGAGAAATGCATCATCAGCTCATTTTTAAGTCCTGCTGCTGGTCCAGAGCTCAGAGTTCGAACCCGACACGGTGAAGCAGCATTTAGCTGTTTATGCTGCTTCGATAGACTGTTTCTAGAATGAGCGCCGTCTGCCTCTGTGAGAACAGCGCCCTCTGGTGACAGGCTGCGGTATAGATTATTATCAGGGGGTTCATGTTTTCTATGATTGACACCTGATACAGCCAATGGGAGGACAGAGATTGAGTAGATCACCGGGGGATACGCTGTTTGACCCGAGCGTCATCACAGAGACTCTCCCGCTGAATGTGAACAACGTTACTGAACAATGTCGGTTTCAGGAAATGAAGAAAAATCGCAGAATTAGTGAGAACTTTTCGGCTTCAAATCTGTAAACAGGAGGAAGGAGGAACCGAGTTTTCCAGAGTAAAAACAGTCTGTGGTTACTTCACACGACTGAAACAAACGACCAGCAGAAGTGAAATCAGAATAAATCCAGGTTAAAAACATTTCTCTGTTCATGTGCTCAAAGCTGAGCTCCTATAATCGTTTTAAACTTTATCTTCTGCTCCTGATTTTAACTGTTTCTGTTGTTTTTATGTAAACCACGCTGAGTTTCCTCAGTATGAAGTGCGCTGTGTAAATAAAGATGTCTAAAAGTCTGAGGACATGAAGCTCTGTGGAGGTCTGTTCGTTGGTCTACTGGTGTGTTTTGGTTCACATGGTCGTGGTTGGTGCTGAGAGGCGGAGCCTCTGAAGTGTGAGTCACTGCATTAGACAGAAGAGTACGGTGGTGAGGGTCCGGCACAGATGTTTTAAAGAGGGTCTTTTTTTCATGTTTAATTGTAATTAACTCGGTATTTCTCTGTTTTTATGAAATGATGAACTGACATTTTCTCTCCTCTCCTCCTCTCTCCTCTCTCCTCTCCTCTCCTCCTCTCCTCCTCTCCTGTCTCTCTCTCTTCTCTCCTCCTCTCTCCTCCTCTCCTCTCTCTCTCTCTCTCCTGTCTCTCTCTCTCTCTCCTCTCCTGTCTCTCTCTCTCTCTCCTCTCCTCCTCTCCTCCTCTCTCTCTCTCTCTCTCTCTCTCTCTCCTCTCCTGTCTTCTCTCTCCTCTCCTCTCCTCCTCTCTCCTCTCCTGTCTCTCTCCTCTCCTCCTCTCCTCCTCTCTCTCTCTCCTCTCCTCCTCTCTCCTCTCCTCCTCTCCTCCTCTCTCCTGTCTCTCTCCTCTCCTCCTCTCTCCTCTCCTCCTCTCTCTCTCTCCTCTCCTCCTCTCCTCCTCTCCTCCTCTCTCCTCTCCTCCTCTCTCCTCTCCTCTCCTCCTCTCTCTCCTCTCCTCCTCTCTCTCCTCTCCTCCTCTCCTGTCTCTCTCTCTCCTCTCTCTCCTCTCCTCCTCTCTCTCTCTCCTCTCCTCTCCTGTCTCTCTCTCTCCTCTCCTCCTCTCTCCTCTCCTCCTCTCTCCTCCTCTCTCCTCTCTCTCTCTCCTCTCCTCCTCTCTCCTCTTCGTTCCTCTCCTCCTCTCTCTCTCTCCCCTATCCTCCTCTCCTCCTCTCTCCTCTCCTCCTCTCCTGTCTCTCTCTCTCCTCTCCTGTCTCTCTCTCTCTCTCTCTCCTCCTCTCTCCTCTCCTCTCCTCTCCTCTCTCTCTCTCTCTCTCTCCTCTCTCTCTCTCTCTCTCTCTCTCCTCCTCTCTCTCTCCTTCTCTCTCTCTCTGTCTCTCTCCTCTCCTCCTCTCTCCTCTCCTGTCTCTCTCCTCTCCTCCTCTCCTCCTCTCCTCTCTCTCTCCTCTCCTCCTCTCCTCCTCTCTCTCTCTCCTCTCCTCCTCTCTCTCTCCGTTCTCAGCATCAGTTCCTGAAGATGGCGAAGCCTCTCTCCAGTCTGACCCCTCTCATTGTGGCGGCCAAGGAGGCTGCCAAGAACAACCGTTAGCGAGCTTTGCACTCATTGTTTCGTCTGTCAGTCTCTCTCTCTCTCTCTCTCTCTCTCCCTCTTCCCTCTTTTTTTTAAGATTACACGGCGGCGATCGCTGCTGGCTGGGTTACAAAGCCCTGCCTGTCTCCTGTTGACCTTTGACCCCGACCTTGACCTCCTTCACCCCCCCACCTTCTCCAAACCCTCAGAGGGACAAAAACGGACGGATGTCCCTGTAACATCGTTTTTTTCCGCTGGACTCGGACAGAAAGGCGGGGCCAACTGATGACATCATCAGTTGATCTGTGATCAGGTGACATCATCGCTGACCGAAAAACGCCTCCGCCAGAAACGACCAATCAGAAACGAGAGAGCGAGAGTTCAGGGTCAGAGGTCGAGACTCACAGAGCAGGTTTTTATAATCAGTTAGAGACCCTCGAAGAACACAGGCTGCAGACTGTGTGTGTGTGTGTGTGTGTGTGTGTGTGTGTGTGTGTGTGTGTGTGTGTGTGTGTTATACAAACATGCTTCCTGTCAATCATCCTCAGCTTTCAGTCTTTTTTATTCCAGTTTGAAGGTTCAGTTTTTTTTTTGTCTGTCGGACTGAATTTAGATCAACTTTTCTGTGTGTGTGTGCGTGCGTGCGCGTGCGTGCGTACGTGTGTGTGTGCGTGTGCGTGTCCGTGCGTGTGTGTGTCCTGCAGGAGACGTGGGTTAATTTCGTTGATTGTAGCGTAACCTTCAGTAGTTTTTGACGTTGAGCAGGTCAGGTTTGGTACTTTTTTGGTTTGTGTCCGCGGTTCGAGGAGTTTATAGATAATTAATATTAATGAGATAAGGACAGACTGTCGAGCCCAGAGCAACAGATGGACACTGAGTTTGGATTATGTCGTGATGACCTGTGAACCACAAAACCTAAAAACTAGAAACTGAACTCAGATTTCTGACGGCTGCTGGAGGATCTGGATCCTGACAGAAGTGACGTGGGTTTGATTGACTCGACTCTAAACCAGCAGAACCAGCAGGTTGTTGTCGGTCCTCAGGTAAATGTCTGTAAATCATCAAAACTCCTGATGGATCCGAGTTAAACTGCTGCCGTCTGAGTTTAGCGCTCAGTCGTCACGCCACTTTCAGTCGATCACAAAAATAAAAGATTTTAGTTTTAGATTTTAATCCAGTGTCTGATTTTTCCCTCCTCACCAAGTCGTGAATCGTGTTGCAGCAGGCAGAGACATTGAAAACACTGCCATACATCAGAAAATCAAAGAAACATTTACATCAAAATCATTTCAGGAGGTGAAAAACATTAAAGACGATTTAAAGACGATCTGGAAGGTGACGTCAGCCTCGCTCCATCTGCGGCTCTGGGACGTGGTCGTTTGCTGGTTCGATGCTGTGAGAGGGAGGATGTGCATGTCAACACTTTTTTTTATAAACGGTACGATTATTTCAGGCGGAGGAATAAAGAGCGTGCTGAGAAAACGATCGATGAAGGATGTCTGTGTACGATAGAGGAGATCGACTTTTAATCCTATTTTTAGAGGAAACGAACAAACAAATGCGACGGCCGTACGATGTTTGTTTATGTTCTTCCTCCTGGTGGACGGGTCCATCCTCAGGAGACTCTGAATATAAGGTGTATATTTTATGTGCGAAAATAAAAAAGAAAGAAAACTGCATCGACAAAAAAAAGGAACAACAATCTGAGTGTTTACAGATTCACCGTTTTTTTATAACTGATCACTGTCACCTGTTTTTATTTGGACACTACAGAGAACGGAGTTTTTGTTTTGGATTATTTTTTTGCATAAAAGAGCAAAATTATTTCTTGATGGTCTAAAAAAAAAAAAAAAAACATGCAACTATTTCTGACAAGTTCAACGTCTGCAGGAGCCAAAGTCTAAGATCAGCAGCCACGGTTGTTCGCTCGACTACGAAGAGTCAGAAACACAAAAAAAAAAGACAAATGCAATGTAAATAAATACTCACCAGACGTCTCCAAAACAGCTGTTCAAAGGTGTCACTCTGATTGGTTCAGATGTTTTTATTGTTTCTCTGTAGAAATCAAGTTAGAGAACCTCTGGCCTTAAACTGCTTCACAGTGAAGACTCCTTTGACCAGAAGAGACACGGCGGCAGATCTTAGAGAAGGCGGACCACACGTCTGAGCTCAGATTCAGGAAGACCTCATGAAGCTGCACAGAGAAGCTGAGAGTCTGGGAATAAAGACGTGGAGCGCTCATGAGGAAGATGACCCTCCAAACTCAGAAAAGTTCAATGGAACAGCTGATCACTTTGAGCCTTTTGTGTCGCAGCGTCAGAGTCAAACTTCAAGGTGGAGTGTGGATCATGTCTGCCGCCGTGTCTCCGTCAGCCGCTGAAGCACATGCATGCTGTAAACTTCTTCTGCCTGAATCTGTCTCCTCTGCTCGTCCTGGTCTGAACCCCCCCATGGTTCATGGTACCCAGATCCACCTGTCTGTATCTGGATCTGAACAGGTGGTCTCCTCCTGACCCTGACAGGATGACTGTCCCGTTTGAGTCCTCCGGGAGCAGCTCTCTGGGGGGTTCAGACCTGGTCCCTCCCCAGCTGTGATGGTCAAAGAAGTCTTCACTCCCCGGTGCATCAGAGCCATAATTTATCTGTTTTTCAGTCGTTCGGATTATTTGAAACAACTCTGGAAAATGAAAAGAATAAAAGTGTAGAAAAACTGGAAACCTGAAATCTGTGTTTTATTTTGTTCTCTCTCAGTCTTTGGACCGGTCAGAACCAGACCCTGTACGTTTGGACTCTTCACGATGTCGAGCGCTTGGTTTATTTATTCAGTTTATTCATGGTTGAAGAGGTGAGATCTTCTGTTGGAGGATATTTTCTCTGTGACTCGGTCTGAAGTCCTCCTGCAGAGGTTCATGTGGATCACAGGTCAGGGTTCTCATTTAGACCAGATCACCTGATTCTGATGAAACAGAACCGACCGTGTTTGAGACAGGAGACGGGGGCTGATCCGTGTGTTGAAAGGATCGTTCAGCTGAGGAGACCCACCGTCTGTGTCTGTGTGTCTGTGTCTGTGTCTGTGTGTCTGTGTGTGTGTGTCTGTATGTCTGTGTGTCTGTGTCTGTGTCTCTGTGTCTCTGTGTCTGTCTGTGTCTCTGTGTCTGTGTGTGTGTCTGTGTGTCTGTGTCTGTGTGTCTGTGTCTGTGTGTCTGTGTCTGTGTGTCTGTGTCTCTGTGTCTGTCTGTGTCTCTGTGTCTGTGTCTCTGTGTCTGTGTGTCTGTGTCTGTATGTCTGTGTGTCTGTGTCTGTGTCTGTGTGTCTCTGTGTCTGTGTGTCTGTGTCTGTGTGTCTCTGTGTCTGTGTGTCTGTGTCTGTATGTCTGTGTCTCTGTGTCTGTGTGTCTGTGTCTGTGTGTCTGTGTCTGTGTGTGTGTCTCTGTGTCTGTGTCTGTGTCTGTGTCTCTCTCTGTCTGTGTCTCTGTGTCTGTGTCTGTGTGTCTGTGTCTGTCTGTGTGTCTGTGTCTGTCTGTGTGTCTGTGTCTGTGTGTGTCTGTATGTCTGTGTGTCTGTATGTCTGTGTCTGTGTCTGTGTCTGTATGTTTCTGGATCTGATGCCGTGTGGGTACGAATGACCTTCAGTGACCTCTGAGGGGGGCCCTCATGGATGATGAGTTCTGGCTTCAGCTCAGTTTTCTCACAGAAACGTCACGTTGAAAATAACAAACCTGAGATTCAGACCTCTCTGATTAACCTTCCCTGACATGCAAACAGACCTTTATTTTGGTGTTTTTCCTCCTCTTCCTCTTTCTTCTCTCGGCTCCTGAAGGATTTGTCCTTTTTCACGACATTGTTTTGTCCCACAGTTACCTGCTCTTTAGATGCTCAGTGACCATTTCACAGCAGGAGGCACATGACAGTGGGCGGAGCTTTGACATATCAGCAGTAAGAATCATCGACCTTCATCAGCAGCAGCACTAACATGTTTTTACTTCATTTTATTTTATTATAATTCATATTTGATCAGACAGACAGAATCACTCAGACATGAAAAAAAATCAAAAATAATTTTTATTTATTGATATTGATTGATTACTCTTGGGGGCCCCTTACTGGCCGCGGGGCCCTAAGCAGGCGCTAACTTCGCTTATGTCTTGGACCGGCTCTGTGAACAGTCATGACGAAACAATGAGAACTTTGATTTCTATCATGATTTCCTCAAACTCCTGAAAATATCTAAAGCTGCTCAGTAATGAATGATGTAATGGAGTCTGGAGCAGACTTTAATCCGTCTGCCCGGGTTCGCTCTCTCTCCATCTGTCTGTCTGGCTGTGAAACTCGATCCCACCCTCCGTCTTTTTCAGGCTCCTTCACATTAAAAGTGTTAATTACCGATCAGCTGCTCCGTTAAACTGCAGAGAAAGAGTCTGGATGAGACCCCTGCAGGGGACTCGGACCTCAGGTCAGATGAAGTTCTGAATGAAGGGGTCGGACCGGGACACGGTTTGTTCCCTCCCTTCCTTCACTCGTTCTCCTCTCAGATCATCAGACCTTCACCTCTTTGTTTACTCTCTTCGGTTCTCTTTATCGGACCCCCGTGTCCCTCAGGTCGAGGTTTTATGATCCCTCTCTGTCTCAGACCTCCTCGTGTTTTTATCAGAGCAGTGAAGTGGACAGTCTGTCTTTGGCAGTAATCCTCCCTAATTCCTACAAACACACACTTGTCTTCTTCACTCAGACCTCGGTGTGACGTCCTCCTCAGTCCTCACTGCCTCTCAGTCTATGTTAAATCTTCTGACTTTTACCCACCTACAGTGTATCTTTAAAGAATAAAAACACTGTTGGGTTTTCTGAACTAACCTGAAGGTAAAAGCGTTTCCCTCTTTGTCTTTGTGGTTAAAAATAAAGCAGGAAGCTCACGCAGGAGATGATGGAGTCTCTCACGTTGCTCACAGGCCTGTTTGGCTCTCGCTGTGACCCGTTCAGTGTTCCTCTGAGGTCTTAATATTGGCAGATGTCAGCGTTGTTACGTAAAGTGGGAACTCTGGTGTCTACTGCCAAGAGAAACAAGCTTCAGATGATCGGACTGTTCAGCCTCGTTTTCACACCCAGGTACGATCAGACCTCAGGTGTGTGAAATCCTGTTTTTTTGGTTTTTCAGTATCAGCCCATCGTTGTTTAAAAGAAGCTGCAGACCTAAACGGGGACGCACAAAATCCTGCAGACCTCTGAAGTAAATGTGATCAGGGCGGCGGCGCTCGGCCCGCTGTCTGTCGACAAAGTGAAGTCAAGCTAACAGCACTCAGATTTAGATATTTAAAGGGACATTCTGGCGTAAAATTTAGTTAGGGTCAAACCCACCGTAACACCGAGTTAGACTCCCCCTCCAGCAGACGCTTGTTTGTAGAGAGACCTCAGGCCGGTCCATTACAGACTACAGCGGGGTGCCGCAGCTCAAGGAAGAACATTTATGATCATTTCTTTATCATTTCCTTGAAGTAATAATCATCATATTAATCATTTTACAGACGCGGTAGTTCTTCTGTCTTAGCGTCTCGGTTGGCGTGTTGATGTCTATGATCAAAACAGCCAACGGTTCACTGTAGTTCAGCCGAATCCAAGCGGCACTCTGTGAAATGAGTCCAAGTTAAACTTCTATCGCTTCTTTCCACAATCTGGATCATTACATCAACCATTGTGTCCTCCTTTGCCTCTTTACCTTCCTGCTGTCTCCTCACTCTTCATGAGATAAACAATCTTCACATAAAATCTCACATTTGTTTACGTGAGTTTTCCCCTGCAAATACGTTAAGTTAAAAATGCTCACCTGCGCTCATTTCCCGGCTGCACTCGATAATAACACAAGAACTCTGATTGTATTTCCATGAAGAAATGATCATAAATGTTCTTCCTTGAGCTGTGGCACCCCGCTGTAGTCCGTAATGGACTGGCCTGAGGTCTCTCTACAAACAAGCGTCTGCTGGAAGAGAGTAGGTGAGTTGTGTTTAGTCTCTTTGCTAAAGAAATGAGTCAAAGTTAAAAAGATGTTTGGTGTCTAGTACTATGGCTGTGACCCTATATGTACTAACCTCAGTAGAACATGGTGTAGTTCTGTTCAGTAACAGAACCTCATTGGAAAATTATCTGATTTAACTTTACTGTGCTCTTGTTCAAATATATTAACTCGACAGCACATAAATCCATACCTGTTAACAAAATCATAATTTTATTGATAATTCGGCTCAATAATAAAAACACCTTTACCTTTTCATTTTACTACAGTAGAAGTTTATTGGCCCAGCTTATAGACTACAGAGGTGGAGAAACGCCCCCGCTTAAGTTTATGTTTTCTGAATGTAGTACTATGTCTGTGACCCTATATGTCCTGTTGATGAAGTTAGGTGCTGTTCTGAGCATTATTTGTGGCTATAGAGTGGCGTTTTGGTTGGGGGCGTGGCTCTCTGTATTACTATCCTGCGGTCGTTACTAAAGTTGGTATAACTAGAGAAGCAAGCGGTCGACAACATTCATCTCTGGAGGGGGGGTCTGACTCGGTGTTATGGTGTGTTTGACCCTAAATTAATTTTATTTTGGAATATCCCTTTAACATGACAGTCATATACAGTATATGTATACTATAACTAAAGTCCAGGGTTCACCTAAATGATTCAGACTCGGGTAAAAAATGACCATTTCAGTTTACAGCTGCATATAAAGGAAACATCTCCGTCCTCATTTGTAGATTAAAACAGAATTTTCAGTTTTAATGAAAATTCAACATCATTTATTATAATCTATATATTAAGAATAATCAGTGAAGGATAAGGATCTTTTGTGTTCCACTTGATCTTAGAGATTTTGCACAGTTTGTGATTTCCAACTACAGTCTTTGTTTGAATGAGGAAGTGCATCTCAGTCTTCTGTTGCCATGGAGACGCTCATTAAAGCACTGTAATTGTCCTGCGGGGACCGAAAGCATGACGCAGGATTTCTGCTCTGCCTCTCTGTCAGTTTTTCCCTCAGACTCCACATCTTCAGACTTTTCTCTCGGCCGTGTTAAAGACCTGCTCTCTCCATGTTCCTCCTGTTCCTTCTTCAGTGGGAAAGGTGAGAGAGGTGTGTTTCTGCAGACAGACAGTGACGCATGAGCGACAAGGACAAACTCCCACTGAGGGTTCGAGTGAAAACACAACAGGAGTGTGTGTTTTTAAGGCGAGGAAAGGAGGAGAAAAAGAAGAATCAGCCAAAACAAAAACTCTGAGCTTTCTTCATCCTCAGGTCAGATCATCGCTGTGAAGTTATCACAATTTATGTGGTCAGACTGAGGAACAGATTTAGGAAGACTGTAAGGTTCATCTTCTGTTCATATCTGACAACAACCTCTGAGAGATTTTGTGATGAAAAAGTGAAAGAAAGGAACAAAAACAGGCTGAGATGTTTTGAGAGTCTCTCTGGAGGAGATGAGGAGTGCTGCCGACTGTTTACCTCCATGAAGATGACTCCTCGTCTCCTCAAAAACTCCCCCCGTCCAGGAAGTTCAGCTCATATTTGTGTTTTTTTTTCTTGGAATAAAACAGAAAATTATCTTTACTGTCAGCAGGTGAAAGTAAGAAAGCTGGAGTCCAAATATTCAGACGGAAGTGTCCTTTATTTTTTATAAATCACCAACTTCAAACACTCGATGTGACTCTGAGTTATACTCTCCCTCTTTAACCTTCGCCTACGAGTGTTTCAGTAAGAGTGTGTGTGTGTGTGTGTGTGTGTGTGTGTGTGTGTGTGTGTGTGTGTGTGTGTGTGTCTGTTTGATTGATGTCTCTTGGTGTTGCAGTGGAGTCCCCCCCCACCCTCACGCTCCCCCTCCCCTTTTTATCGCTCAGTGTTACATAACAGACTTCACTGCAGAGGAAGAGCACTGCAGAGGACTCCTACTACACACACACACACACACAGACACACACAGACACACACACAGACACATGTTCAGGTTTACTTTATTTATCCCCTTCTCATTCTCTTCATCTTTATTATCGTCGTTTCAGCCGTTTCTCTCGTTTTATCGTTTATTTGATGAGGATTGTTATCGAGTTCATTCTGTCTGAGTGTTTCTCAGTTTCTCATTTCCTCATGTTTCAACATTTTCCTCCGTTTCCTCCGCTCTGACTGATATTCTTGTTCCTCACCGCAGAGAAGACTCAGCCGTTCTTCTCTCCTTCAGGACTTCACCTGTAAACCTCATGTTCTCGGTGTCGTTGCTCCTCTGGGCAGGATCAGTCTGACTGTCAAACCTGACAATCTGACGTGTCCTTGTAAAGATCCAGACTGTAATGTGCACAAATATTGGCACACACCACTTACCGACCACGTGTTTCCACCCGTGACGTCCCGGTCCACACATCACAACACACACTTAACTCACCGATGCAAAGAGACAACAGCAGGACGGTTTTTAGTGTCGTCCTGCAGCAGCAGACGCTCTCACTTCTCATCGTGTTCTCTCATGTCAGACTTCTGCTCTCTCTGTATATTATATATAACACAAAGAGCTCCAGCTGAGGCACTCAGACATTTCATTTCACCTCATTTTATAAGTTTTCTTGACAGACTGATATTTGGACATAAACCAACATGAGAAAAAACAACTAGAAATAAGTCTACGTTCACACACGATTCAGATTTTCTGTTCAATCCGATCTTTTTGTGCGTCGTTCATGTTACAACAACGACTGTGTCCGTGAAGTGACCCACATGCGCACAAAACACAAATTTCTCCCTGCGCCTGTTTGTGTTGTTGAACAATGGTGACGTTTGTCTCATATTGATGACGTAAAGGTCGGATGAACGCGACCTGAGCGTCCACACTGCAGTCACATCAGATACATATCTGATTTATATCCACATACAGAAGAGGGTCGGATCAGAACCAATCAGAACTGACCTGTTCACACTTGGATGGAAACATCAGATATGGTTAAAAAGTCAGAACTGACCTGCAGTCTGAACGTCGACTAAAATGTTTGACATTAGTTTTGAATTTAGAGTTTGCCTCATGTTTCATCTGTTTACATGGAGGAGGTGTGCTTTATGTACTGCAGCAACTTTTGGCTTCACTTTAAATGAGCTGTTGTGTTGTCCAGCTTTATACTGTCCTTGATACACAAGCACTAACCTCCCAGTATCCATGAAACACGTTTTGGACAGAGTCGATACCGACCATGAGAAACAGGTTTCCTTGACTCTAAAAACTCACTTCAGGTTTGGGACTGTCTGAGCTCAGGTGTGTCTCCAATAATCAGCTCCTCAGTCCCACCAGTTCGTGGGTCTACTCTCCAAAGATCACAGAGGACATCGGCTCTGATGGTTCAGTTTGGTTAACGTTGTTTTTCTGGGAGTGAAGGTGATCCTCAAACATACAGAAGAATAACAATCAAAAATTTACTCTCACATCGAAGTTCATTGAATTTCATACCTGTTTGAATGAAAACACACAGTTATGCTGAGTATTTGGTCTTCTGTGGTTGTTCTGTTGTAAACTGAGCAGTGGTTCATGAATGAGAGTCAGATAACAGGAAGAAACACACTCTTCAAATAAAGGTGGGTCTTATTTCTGTCACTGACGACAGTTTAATGGACAGACTTTCCTGTAAAATCAACTCTATGATGTAATGAATGTCTGTGGTCAGATGATAACCTCCTCAAAGTTCTTCTGTAACACAGACTCCAGAGGATGAACTGGAATCCCCCTCATTTCTCCAGGACTCCTGAATTAACCTTGAAGGAGAAGAAGAAACGCTGCAGTCGATCACGTGTGAGCTCAGAGTGCTGCTGATGTCTCTGTTTAACCCTCTGAGGACAACCATACTCTTCTTCTAATGTTTCACATGGTCTTAAAAAGCATGTGTCACCTCACCAGAGAAACACACAGCCCTGTAACACACATCTGTCTTTTTCAGGATAGTCTGGGATTGTCGTGTTTCCACCACTTCTGATTTTTCACCTTTTTCCTCTCCGTCTGGGTGGAGACGTCACGACACAACGACTGCTCTCTTCAGAGGCCACAGGAGGAGGTGAAGCAGTGATGGAGGAGGTGATGCTTGTTTGAGTGTTTTTCATGTCTCTCTGATCTCTGCGTGCTGAACAGATCTCTTTAATTTCACTCACACACTAATAAAGCTCTTCTCTGTCAGTCTGTGTGTTCAGGGGGAGGCGTCTCCCTCGTCAGGTTGCCTTTGTGATGGTTCTGTTACCTTGGCGACTTATGCCTTGTTGACCAGATCCAGCGCATTATGATTAAAGGTGCACTGAGTTGCCATGGCAACACTGTTCGTAGGAGTTGCATAAGCGGAAAGAAAGGGGACCCCATTGACTATGTGTGTGTGCGTGTGTGTGTGTGTGTGTGTTTATGAGTTGACATATGTGTGTAGATCTCTCTCTGTGCAGCCTGAGTCAGTATCTGGAGTGTGTGTGTGTGTGTGTGTGTGTGTGTGTGTGTGTGTGTGTGTGTGTGTGTGTGTGTGTGTGTGTGTGTGTGTGTGTGTGTGTGTGTTGAAGACGATCTTGACCCGTAAAAAAAAAAGCAGCCTTTATGAGCTTGTCTTTTTCCTCCTCTCTTCCTCTCTGGAGGAACTCCTGATAACTCGCTGTCTGTCCCTCTTTAACCTCTTTATTTATCAGGGGAAACTGAACAGAGTGAGAGTGTATTCCTGTCAGTGTTTCACATCCACTCTCTTACTCACACTCACACCTGGGAGCTGCTCAGTTCAAACGCACATCGCTGCGGTTGCTGCTGCTGCGGTTGCTGTTGGGCTTTAAGCCGTTTCCATGGAGCAGCTTTCTGTCACAGCAGCAAACCTCCCGTTCAAACCTGAGGATGGAAACTGTTTTAGACAGAGAAAGACATTTAAAGACTGTGACTGTCTATAAACACAATCTGTTTTTCCTGTAGTCCACAGTCCTCTTTGTCATTCTTCCTATACAACATCTCTGGTGACCCTACATGACTCTATAATGTTATAAATCCAACATTTGTTTCAAACACGTTAGTTTAATGTTAGTCTAATGTCAGTCTGAACTCCTGTAATATCCCCAAAGTCAAGTTTGTTTAAATAGATTTGAAATAACTCATCAGCCTCTTCAAATTTCTATAAATTCATTAAGTTTTATTGTGAAGTTAGTCCTCTGTAGAAGTTAAAGACGTGTCTGCCAGGAGCCAGAAAAAACAGGAGCAGTGCTCTGTCTGAAAACAGATATTTTACCTGATGTATGTGCATCCTTAAAGTAAAGTTAATGTTATATAAGTTTTTGAGAGTGATTGTACCTCAGTTCAGGTCTGACTCTGGTTCTGTAATAATAATAGCTGTAGCCTGATCTTTGCCAGTGTTTGGAGATGTCTCCTGCTCTGTTATTTGCAGGGATTTACCCCTGTTATGTCTGCTCTGGTGGATTTACTACCACAGTAAGTCCATTAATAAGAAAAGACCCGCACAAACAGGAGCCCCCCCAGTGTTCATTACACAAAACTTTATTGTTTTACAGGTGCTTACAGGCTGTTAGGGTGCTGAGCTGCGGTTTAGTTTCTTTGGTTCTTAGGTTCTTATCTTGAATCTTGAGCACAATTTCTTTTAGTAAACACAGTTTTAGAGCTAAAACCTGAAAAGCCTCATATTCTGATAGAAAATGGATATAGGGGAGAGTGGGGTGAGACGATCCATTTTTCATATTTGGGATCACTACATCAAGTCAGTCCTAGTTTTGTCTCTGACTCGTGTATCTGCAGATATTTCTTCATCAGAATGAGAGTATACAGAACTGTCATCCTTATAATATAGCAGGCTAAAAAAAGCGGTCTCCTATGGTCAACTTACCCCTTCTCTCTCCCTAAATAACAGTCACTTCTTCACATTCATGTGTATTTTTATCTATTATACTCTATTCAACTGGTACAATCATTCTGTTTATTATTATTACATATAACTGATAAAAAAACATTTGAAGATGAGAATGTCTTTGAGTGATTGAGGACATTCACAGATCTGTATTTTAGAAAAGAAAAAGTATAGGTCATAAACCCCGCCTCCTTATGGAGCTGTGGACAAACTTTATAAATGAATGACACAGAATATAAATGTTTCTCCCCCCTGGTTGTGATGTTGACATGTAGTTACTGTCAGACTGGTTTGTGCTCAAGTCCTCTTTTTTCTGTACAGCTCCATTTTTAAAAGTTATTAGGGGGTTCATGTTTTCTATGATTGACACCTGATACAGCCTATGGGAGGACAGGGATTGAGTAGAGCACCGGGGGATACGCTGTTTGAGTCGAGCGTCATCACAGAGACTCTCCTGCCGAATATGTACAACCCTACTGCGCAATGTTGGTTTCAGGAAGTGGAGAAAAATCACGGAAGTACAGAGAACCTTTCGGCTTCAAACCAATTTGTCCAGAGTAAATACAGCCTATGGTCTGACAATTCTAATCAAACTTATGACTGAATTCAAATAAATGTCTCAAGGTCCTTTCACACCGGGACCGTTTTTGTCGTGTGATTATTTTCCCTTATTTACCCTCGGGCTCGACTTACCCTTTGGCTGAACCTACCCCGGTCTCCCCTATACTGGGACTGAAAACTCGGTGTTTTTTTTTTCTTTTTTATTGATCATGATACAGACAGGAAGACTGACATAGGTGACTCCTGCTCTTCTGAATGAATTAAAATGGCCGTTAGATAGATCTCCGGTTGTACACATGTTTGTCCTCTTCTGTCGATATTTTAGAAATTTCTGGACAAATGGGAGTGTATCGGTGTGACGTAGGCAACAGGTAGGTTGGATCCCCTCGCGGACGCCTCGTGCGCCTGCAGTTCTCCTCCTCTCCTCTCCTCGCTCAGCTGCAGCGCGTGCTGGTACCGTAGTCATCCTCGTGTCCTCACACAGCCAGTAACACACGGAGCTCGAGAGCTGCACTCACTCACTGCTTCACGAGACCACTGCAGCAGCAGCAGCAGCAGCAGCACGGAGGGCTCGCGCCGTAGAACGTAGTTTGAAAAATAACGGTCGAGCTGGAGAGAGGAGCAGCAGAGGGACTCCTCACAGGGACTCCTCACAGGTAAATGTTGGTTAATTTCTCATTTCTGTGCTGGGAATGGATCACTTTACTAATCTTTTCACGGAGCTGTTAAAGTAGACTGTCTGTTATGTTGAATGGACAGGATAAATGATTGTCTGAATGGGAGATTCAGTCGCTGTAAGATGTTTAGTTATCGTCGCCATCGTCCTGCTTTATGAACGTAGTCCTGTTTGAGACGGGTGATTTTTATTTCACCGAAAAATAACATATATAGACTGTTTTCTCCCTCCGTTTTTGTGAGCTTGGTCGTTCAGTTGGAGTTGTAGCTTGCTGAATTGTTTTTGTTTTATTGAAGTGTCACAGACATCAGTATAAGTCTGTTAATTAACCACAACATGTCTGTCTCTCATTGATGTTTTAGGTCTGTGAGTTAACAGTTGGGCAAACTAGTGAAACATTAACAATGCAAAGAGTTTTAAATCTGATTTTTTTTTATCTTTCTGCCTATTGGAATGGATAAATAAGATTATTATTCCCTGAAAAATAAATGAAAAACTGCCTTTTTTATTTGACAGTCACTGACATGTCTGTTAATAGGTTTTCAAGTAGGCGAGCTTGTTTTATTATGACAAGGGCAGGGATAAAATAACCTGGTAGGCTATTGCTGACGATGGGCTGTGGGTATTTATTTTAACTTTAAATTTTCCCCTCTAATTTGACTAATTTAGAGTTTTTGATGTTTTTTAGTTAATAAGGTATCGTGATATTGACATTATTGACTACCCTGTAATTTACATGTTCAATATTAATGTTTCAGTTTAATTTCTTAATAGCTGAATTGCTTTATGTGACATTATCGTACCATTTGGTGGGGTTCCCTGCATTTCTTACCTGTTCTTACCTGGTTTCTCACTGCTTATCAGTGCTGTGGTGGATATTATCCTTAAGTAAAGAACCCTAACATCTTGTTGTGTTACTTCCTCATGCAGCTGTTTCATTCAACAACAACTGAATCACGTTTCTGTCAGGCTGCATTAATATTTTTCCGCGGGTCAATACAGATTGATCCACTTCACACAGGCAGACTATCAGTCTAAATTACCAGTTAGCCGATGAGAACTGTCAGGAGTCCAAGTCACGTTGTGTGACATCAGATTTTTGTGTTTTTCACTCAGCCAAGGTCAGTTAATAGAGCCACAGCTGTGTGAGAGGAGATGGATGTGAACTTGGTATGGTAAGATGTGGTTTGGCTTTTGTAATCCCTCTAGGAGAAGTGCAGTGACACTTGCCAAACATCTCTGTAGGACCCGTCTTGACATCAGGGCAGATGCTCATGCTTAGATGCTTAGATACTATATGCTTTTCTTGGCTTGTTTGACAGAGAAAAACAGGTATTTTTGAATAGCTGGCTTTGGCTCTCATCTTATTAACACCTCACTTCAAAATGCTAAAGTGTTAAACCATTACTGATTTATGATCAGAAGGCTAATATATTGCATTTACTGAGGCTCAAAGATAATTATTTTTTTATTTAACTAGATAAGATCCCATTGAGATCTCTTTTACAGGGTGACCTGGCCAAGAGGTCAGCAGCATACGTCACAATAATAAATAATACAGTTAAAGACAGAAGAGTGAGACTTACACAACAAGCTATTTGGCTGATATGATCTTAATGGCGAAAGCTTGTAGTGGAGAATGATCTTCCTTATGGGAATAAGTGGCATATTGCTTATATGTAGCACAGTGTAGTGATGTAAAATATTTAGCAGAAGCATGTAATTGAGTGAGTGAGGGAGTGGAGGTGTAAATATTACTGGAACATACTGTAAGTGATGAACAGGTTTTGACTGCCATAATGAGTAAGTAGCAGCAGAGACATACTACATGTTATCAATCAATACATGATCAGATGATTGATCCGCTGTCTTCTGCCTTTATATCAACTATCAATCAGAAAATTCGATTACAAATGAAATGTAACAACATGGAAATCAGATAACAAAAAACAGCTGACCTAATCAAACAACTGAATTAGACACTTCATATGTACACAGGGATACATACTATCTTTCAGGTGAGATATCGCTTCCATTCATTGTTTTGCAAGTTAAATAAGCTTAAATATCTCAAGTCTCCACATTGTTTGGATTTTAGAAAGTCTCTGCTTTAAAAAATAGCCTCATTTTGACTTTAAGGAAACTGATTTATAATCACTAATTGGATCTGGAAACTTTAGAGCTCGCGTTTGGAGTTGGACTGAATGGGCTGCATCTTTGGCTTAGGTGTGTGAGTCTCAGTAATACTTTCATGGTGTCATGCTCAGCTCTCCCAAAGCTCTACAGCACAGCCGGCCAGCTGACACTAAAGCTCTTTACAACCGGTCAGACAGACATGTGTCTCTCTCTGCTAAGCCCTCGAGCCTGTGTTGTTCTCTACACAGCAAACTCACCACCAGAGCTGAAACTGAATGAGAACTTCACAAGTCCAGTCCAGGGCTATTATTGCTGGTGTACAATGACATACTGGGTTCGTTGGCAACTTGGCTGGTAATTTGATGAGTCAACCTCTGTGTTGGTTTTTGTGACACTAAAGCATTTTGACATTAGTTGTGTTGTTTTATATTAAATGATGATTGATCAAAAGCTTTCAGCAGCTGTCTGTAACGAGTAAACAAAGAAGTTTCAGGACTACTCCTGTTCTTCACACAGGAACCTGAGCTACTTTGCCTACTTAAAAGTTATTATCATGGAAAATTATTATTTTGGCATTTTGTTTTTGCCTTCTAATGGATGCAGCACAGAGTGGAAACACAGACTGGAACCGCTGCAGGAACCATGGTCCCCGTACATGGGGTGCACTTTGGCTCACTTGGATATCTGCACGCCCTGTTTTTGTGCTTTTTGGTGTCTTATCCTCCCAGAACCTGAAAAAAGGAGTGTTATTAGGAAAATACTGCCATAATGTCATCATGTCATAATGTCAGAAAGATGGGGCATGGTTAGATTCTGTCACCCAACCTTTCACCCAGTTACATATCTATAAACTTTAAATGGTCCGTGTTTTAACCGTGACGCTACAGCGCGAGTAAAACAGAAGTAAGCAACGATAAAGTAGCGCACTCTTTATAGACGAGGGGGAGTTGTTCAGCAGGAATTATAAGTTGTCCTTGTCCCATGTGTGCTGTTTTATCAAGGTGATTTTCAAATCTAATTATAATTTCCTGTACGTGGTAATTAAATCTGTTTTATTACTGTGACAGAGTATCCCCACAGGCTGACAGAAATCCCAGTCTAGCGGTAAAAGCAATTAAATCATCCTCTGATATGGCTTATTTCCCCTCACTGAGGCTGTGATGATTACCACATATAACGAGCAGTTAAATGAATGAATCAATATGTTGGTTGGCTTATCATTAATCTGCCATGACTCATTATCGTCACTGCTGATTCATTCTTCTTCATAACCTGTGTCTGAGCTCTCTGGTGTCTGGTTTGTGTTCAGATGGTGAAGAACGGATGTCACAAAAAAGGACAAGCTATTCATTAGTGAGAAACTCTGAACGAACTGTGAAAAGAGGAATAAGTTTCTCTGTTTGTTTGGTTTTCATTTCAAAGAGAGAGATTGCCAAATGTTCCATTACAGTCTGTCATAAAAGCTGCTTTAGTCTATGCAAAGATATTCATACTAAGCAGAAACCACCACTTTACCCCTGTTATTTCCTTTATCTTACAGTCAGTGTTGATGTTTTTTCACATCTTACATGCTGTTCCTGATGGTAATATTATAATGTGATATAGATATAGACTCTTATCAGCTGAATAATAGGCCAACATACGTTTAAATCCAACCCAAAACTCTGAAGTGAGCTCGTGTTCATAGTGGTGGTTGGCGTGATGTATGAGGACACAGTGAGTGATAGCAAAGAGCTGATTGGTCAGAAAACAGAGGCTGTATTGTTCTCTGCGTACTGTCTCCTCTGCTCTCTGTCTCTCTCCATCCGTCTCCCTTCCCTTACATGCTGCTGTACGCAGGTTTATTGGCTCTGTGTTGTACTGATATGTATTTTAGAGTCCAAAAGGATGCACAGACTGGAACACACTCACACTGTATGGGCAGCCTGCAGCACTGTGAAAACAGCAGCAGTGTTCAGCTCTGTGATTGCTTTTTTCATCGCCCCGTGGCCCTCTCCTGGTGTTACTCATTTCGTCAGGGACCAATCAGATTCAGCTGCAGGGCCTGCTGCAGGGGATCTCTGGGGAAGAGAAATGCATGAGAGAGGCCACAGTTATACTCATGGCTTGATTTGTTTTTCTGCAGCAGCTTGTGTCATTGAACAGGCAAAAACATGAGCACATGAACTTTAGTGTTTATTCATCATCAGCCCCCATAGTCCAGCTATGATGGGAAAACTTTACTCAGCACTTCTCACTTCACTGTTTCTTCTTAGTCAATCTCCTCACACTTTAATATTCTATTTCCCCAATGGTATCTCTGAAGTTTAATGTTATCTTGTGCATAATCATGTCCTGCAGGGATTAAGAGCCCAGTTTAAGGGACACCCCACAAACTCTGGGGACTCAGCCGTGCCCTCCCTGCTGTTACAAGCTGTTGTTGAGAAAAAAGGTTAACTGACCAAACGGCTGCAAAAGTGACGGTAAGCGTAAGAAGCATGATGTGGTCCAGGCTCTGGATGCTGGACTTGTCTGAAGTTGTCGTCACAATCTTTACTCCTTATGAGATGAGCAGGAAGTCTGAGTGAACACATGAGGTAACATGAATAGCATAAAAACACACGTACTGGCTCATTGCCTCATGAACGGGAAATTCAAATTATTGTTGTCAGCTCCCACAATTCATTCAACATGAGTTTATTGAACTGTGCTGCAGTAATCAGATATTTTAGTTTGGGCTTCATGAGGAACTGCAGTTTTCAGCACTCTGCACCCGCTTCATTTCTCAAGAGTTAAGGTTCTTGATTTACAAAGATATGTCTGATTATCTGACAATCATCCAAACATATACTGTTACTAACGACTAAATGGGTTTGGTGTTTGAAAGTGTGACCAATTTTCCTATGATAGAGTTCATAAAAGAAAACTGTTGCTTCTTTACATTGATGTGAATCTGCTCCAGAAAACAGGGTCTTTTTATAAACGTTAATCATAAAATACCCAGAATGTTAAGACAAGCCCTGAATTTGCCTCTTGGCTTTCTATAGAGCAGGTGCCATATTTTCAGTTTGTACTCAGGCCTGTCAGGTTATAATTTAATTCTCGGCAGGGACATGAGGCAGTCGCTGCTCCTGTCGGATGTAATGGAGCCTAGAAGGGAAGTCAAACATGACAGACTGCCAACCTGCTCATCTGCCTCAGCCCCCCAAATCATGCAGAGATGAAGATGCAGCACAGCTCAGCTGCAGCTCCGACAATCTTCTGATCACGAGTCAGAGGCACAAAAATCTGAACTCTGTAGTCGGGTCAGTGACGTGACGCCTAAATATTCTGTCCAGCTGTATTTTCTTTTTTTAAGTTAAAAAGGTTTAAATGCACAAAAATATACTTTCTATATGTAGTATCTCTCTCATAGTCGTAGTCACTTCAACTTTTCCAAAATCAGGTCTTATTAGTAATTTTTCTGAACTTCAAAGTGTCAAAATATCACGTGGTGTGACCAATAACAACATTAATTGTATGAAATACAATTTAAAGAAAAAATTAGTCAGTGAACTGCATTTAATTTAGCGACTGTGACATTATAGAGCTGAATGTGAGATCAATATTTACAAAAACTTAAACGAAATGCAAACACTTTGTTTCTGTCTACTTGATATTACCGACAATTTGTAAAAAAAAACTATTAAGTGTGTTGAAAAATGTACTAATTTTGAGATAAACTATGGTCGCACCACATGACATTTTTTAAGGCCAATTCATCTATAGGTAAAAACACTAAAATTGCACAATTTAAAAAATTTAACATTAATTTTTGTATACACAACATCCTTGGTGTTGGAACTGTTGCAAAATATATTCTTATTTTTGGTATTTTAAAATTAACATGTTGAAAAACCTTATAGGTCATTGACCCAGTCATGATTAATTCCCTTCTCATAGATGTACCTGTGTTTAAAAGCAGTCCCTGTTGCACTCAGGGCTGACATTTCTGTCCACTGTATGGTTATGAACTTTTTGATGAATCTGTGTTTACCTGATCATGGGTGTTCGGAGATTCTTATTCAGGCTGCTGCATTGCAGTTTTTGATTTGCTCCCATGACGTCAAAATACGAGCTGGCTCTTTGAATCACTTCTCAGTAAAGGACTTAAACTAATTTCTGAGTGACATTGAGGGGTGAATCTACAGTTTTCTGAGGATAGATTGACTACTTTTGGATAGTGTGTGCATACACTGGTGCTAGGATATACTGTATGTAGTCAGATAGTTCCTCAGATAGTGGAACATATGGTGCGGCTCTCATCCGTCCTTCTGTCTGTTTACTTGTTGGTGGGATGTACCTGAGGACACCCCACTCTGGGATCAGCAGCGCTGCCTGACTCTGTGTCAAAGTCTGACTCTGACCTGCGTCATGTTGCTCCTGTGGTGCTGCAGTGGTTCAGTGGTTATAGCTGTCAGCACACAGCTTTGAGGACCCAAGCTTTCCTATCATATTCCATGTGCTGCTGTCTGCATGTGTGATGATATATATATTTGTGTTTTATTTGTTTTGGTGATTTCATTCAGGATTTCCAACATGTCTGATAAAGACTTCCATGACCAAGTCTAAATGGAGTTATTTCATTTTTCAGGGTCCCACCATACCAAAGCCTTCTCTCTGATGTTATACAGACTTCATCTCCTGAGAGGTCAGGGTCTTAGATGCATTATGTTGAACTCTAACCTATATCCAGCGTTAGTACAACTCTCTCCTGGCACCTTTGTAACCTGGAAAGTGGATAATGACCCCGATCACTCGGGACCACATTCTGTAGAAACAGCTGTTGTAAGAGTCTCTGATTGGGTCTGTATTATTGTTGCTTTCTTTGTGGAGGTTAGATGACACAGTGTTGAAGTTATCGGGGAGTTAGTGTTTAAATACCTGAACTTTAAAATGTGGTTAGGTAATCCACTAATGTAGGCTGCTGTACGTCCTGTCTGAATTGATTTTTGGTGTTTTTGGAGGAGTTGAATCATCTGTTATGTCACTCAGAACATACACCCACAGCAGCAGTGAAACAGCTGCAAGAGCCGCTGACATTTAAGATTTTCTACAGTACTTTTGAGACCCACTATCAAACTAGAAACACCAAGTACTGGAAGAAATCAAGCACATTTAGCAGCTGAGAGTCTGAAATAAAGATCTGTGTATGAAGTATGTGATTTATATTCAGTCAGATTTCTCACTCGGGTGTCCTGTAGGTGTATGTTCATAGGAAAGGGACCTCAGCTGACTTTGTGTCTTCTCTCTGCAAAGAGTAGGCCTGATAAAGAGCTGTTCAGTCATGTAGTTTAATGTCAAACTACTAAAGGACTGGCCAGTGTCCAAGGCTATTCAGAGAGAGAGAGAGAGAGAGAGAGAGAGAGAGAGAGAGACTGTGACAGATGGGGAGGGCAGAGAGAAGAGAGGATGAACGAATCTTAGCTTAAGACAATTAGTTGGGAGACAATTAAATAGTGTAGTAGAAAAACAGATGACCAGAGTGAAAATAGAGGAGTGGATGATGCTAATGATGCCAAAATAACAACAACAGAAAACTGAGAAGAGACTCACAGAGAGAGAGAGAGAGAGAGAGAGCTTCTGGTATCACAGCACATTTAACCTTAGGTAAGTCGTCGACCCCTTCTCCTCACGTTCATCCCCTCTTGTTTTGTGTTCAGTTAAAGACGGGAAACTTCTTCAGTCAGAATCAGAGAAATCTTTGGCCCAGAAATGAGCAGAGTGTGTAACCACTGCCTTTTGTGTCACAGCCTGTTTGACATCTGACCTACTTTGTGTCCCGGCTAAACATAGAAGTGATGCTCCAATCAGCTGTCAGTCTCAGTTGTTGTGAGTCGAGACAGAGACACTTGAGTTTGTTGCATATATGACTCCGGCTGAATGAAAACGGACTTGAAAACAACATCTCTGAACTTAAATCTGATGACAGGTCGTGTTTTCAATAACCTTGTCTTTACCTGATTATCTGAAAACCTGTAAGACTTCGAATTGTAGGTCTCAGGAACCTTAAAACTTCAAAACAAGTTAAATAGTTTCAAGTCTAAATAAAAGCATTAACATCTGTTTGTAATGATGTGACAGAACTCTGACTAAAGCCTGTTATATGATACAGAAGGACTCTGTGGTTAAAGCTGTGACCACACTGTGATGAAAGTTTCTTCCCACCTTTCTCTAGATCATGAGTTTATGAACATTTGCAGGATTTGACAAATAAAAACCTCTCATACAGCAGTGAGACCTTTGTAAACCTTGAATATAACAAAGAAATGAAAGCCAGGACATTTTGTTGAATAGTGTCTGTCAAAGTCATGTCAGAGTCATGGCATAATAAAAGAATAATTGCTCTTTTTTCAATAACTTCTTATTGTTTTACTGTATTACATAACATTTTCTTACATAAATCCCTCCTGCTTAATTCTCCTCCTGTCAGTTATGAGTCCCCCTTTTACTCCCATCGATTAGTCCGGTCTGCAGGTTGACTTGGCTGTTCTTGAAATAAAATAAAATCCATTATCAGAGGTTTGAGCTGTCCTTCTGTACTCAAATATAATTATGTAGGTGCTGCTGAGCCGTGCTTTCATTACACCCCCTCTGCCCTCTTCTTTGCTTCCGTGTTTCATTTGCCTCTCATTTCACTTTTTACTGCTGAATTTTACACTTCAAATATATTAGTGTGTGTGTGTGTGTGTGTGTGTGTGTGTGTGTGTGTGTGTGTGTGTGTGTGTGTGTGTGTGTGTGTTTGTCCTGTTTGATTGTTTATGACTCCTGATGGTCATTTCTCTCTTTCTCATTTCCAACCACACTCTGTCCTTCACTCTCCCTTGTCTTTTTCTCCCTCTGACTCTGTTGTGTTTACACCGTCTCATCCTCTTTCACAGCAGTAATAATAGCAGATGTGATGATGTCACACAATTGCCATGGCAGCCATGATACGCAGGTCTGATTTTAATCACACGAACAAAGTGAAAAGACAAATATGAACTGCACTGGCTGCACTAAACTGGAGAAGGTTATATCTAATTACATTTAACAAAGTCCACTGTAGTGTAGGCTACAATGTGGTCCAAATATAAAACAGATTATTCTGTTACTGATCAGAACGTTTTCTACTGGATCAGGTCTGTGTGTTTGAAATCAGCATATTAGTGTCCTTACAGCCATAACATGTTACACACACTAACAATGCGCTCTGAGGCCACTTCAGACTTTCACTGTCTCTGCTGATTTGGTTCCATTTTATGATGAACTCAGTTCATCCTCTGTTTCTAACAGAGAGAGTGTGTTAAGCTGCGAACCGTGTAAAGCTGACCTTTCTGTTCTGAACGGAGGGGTCCCATTAAAAGTTGTTGCTGGACCTACATTGAGAGTATTTAGGGCACCTATGTAGGTCTGGATCACTACTAGGAGACGTGAGGAGAACATAAATCTCAGTGGTTTACCTCTGAGTGTTTAATGTTGGAGCCAAAACACACGGCCAATTCATCATTTGGTCTGTCAGCAGAATATGATCAGCAACAATGCTGATTAATAAATAAATATATATGTGATCACTTACCAAGCCAAAGCGCCAAAGGTCATTTTTTTCATCCGTCAAATGTTAGTATTCGGTACCTTCCTTCCAGATTTCACAAAGATAAATATGAAGCGATCCTGGTTAAATTCATTTTTATAAGTTAATTTGTGAAAGAGATGAGATCAGGGTTGGCCCTGGATCTGCACATGTACGCCAAGATTGGCTGTTACACCGATTGTTTTGGCTGTTTGCCATGCTGCGTGTGTTATTTGGTTTAGTGGAGCAGAGGATGTAGAGCTGTTGCATAAGTCTTCACATTAAGTCCATGCTGATATTACATTATTGATCTGATGTTTAAGGGAGAGATTGGAGAAGTGAATAAGTCTTTATTCTGCTTGTGACTGAAAGTTGGATGTAAAAGAGAAATACAATGAAGACAGTCGGCACAGAGTAAGGGGTCATCATTAAGTTAGACTTCCAACAGTAAATCAATTAAAACACGGGGGACATGATATTACAGAGCAGGTGGAGGGAGCAGGGGTTTGAATAGAGGAGTGCTGTCATTATACATGAACCTCTAAATAACTATTTAATGATTTGATGCACAAAAAGTCAAACTAAAGTGAATTAAAGAACACACTCTCATTCAGACTGCTTGTTCTGTCAACTACCTCTAAACCCAACAATGATCTGATTCACACATTAGGTTTAAAATATAAATGTAAATGTTCCTTATTTATACAGCAACCCTTTCTGTGAACCAAAGTGCTTTACAATACATAGTAAAAATGAATAAATAAAAACTATAAAAGCAATAAAATAAAATGTATTGCTACTGGGTATTTAAAGCCAGCATAAATATGTTTTCAGTCGAGATTTAAAAAGGCCCAGGTCGGAGAGAAGTCTCATTTCGGTGGGGATCTTATTCCAGAGCCTGGGACCAACAACTGAAACCTCTCAGTCACCCCAGTGTTTGTGTTTTGACCTGGACACCTCCAGCAGAAGTTGGTTTGACGACCTCAGAGCTCTACCAGGCTCCGTAGCTGTTTACAGATCAGTTAAAAAGATGGAGGCGAGGACGTTAAGAGCTTTAAAAACAAACATTAAAAGTTTAAAATCGATCCTAAAAGAGACGAGAAGACAGTGAAGGGAGCTGAGGACAGGACTGATGTGTCTGTTAGTGTTGGTTAAAAGACGGGCAGCAGTATTTTGGACAAGTTGAAGGAGATTAAGAGATGATTGGGAGATGTTAACATTAAGTGAATTACAATAGTCTAATCTTCAACTGAAAAGAGTCAAAAGTCTCTCATAATTGTCGACTATTTTCTGTCAGTCCACTTTTGAATCTAAGCTCTGGGTTTCAGTGTGTTTCAGTGTGTTTTATTGTGTGTTTTAGTGTGTTCCAGTGTGTTTTAGTGTGTTTCAGTGTGTTTTAGTGTGTTGTAGTGTGTTTCAGTGCAGTACAGCAGTGAAACAGAGAATTTGACAGTGAATAGATAACTGTATAAAAATCCTGATGCAGGCTCAGACAGCTGTAAATATAGTTCTACATTAGTAGTAAGTAGGACAGGTGTGGACATGTTGTGTTTACTGCAGTCACAAATCACAGGTGCAGACACAAGTTGTGTAGAGCTGTGTAACTAGGAGGTCACAGCACATATAGGTCAGTGTGTATTTCTGTAACAGTATCTATATCATCTGGGTTACTGTAAGCAAGTTACAGAGATTTAATACGTGCTTTAATGCTGCTCTCTCTCTGTTCTTATATACACGGTCTAGTTTCCTAAAAATACACTTTTGATTGACTTTGACTTTTTTCCTCCCTCCAGGTAAAGGTGGTTTGGAGGCTGACGTCCTGGTCATCCATCCTCTATCATCTTTGTCCTCTCCGTTCTTCAACCTAAGCTCTCAGTCCTCTCTCTCTCTCTCTCAAACCAACTCTCTCTCACACTCTCTCTGTCACTGTGATGCTGGGCTGTGGGTGAGTGAATGCCCGTGACCAGACTGAAGCTGGGGAAGCTAAAGGTGGTGCGGCGGCAGCTGCTGCAAAGGTAAACAACACACAAACCCAGCATCAGAAGTACCTGTGAGTTTAGAGTTTGTTGTTTTCTGACACAGCCTGAGTTCACTGTATGCTGTTTGTAACTGTCAACAACTTTGTATATCTTTGTGTTTAATATGTAGGTATTTATTCAGATCTTTGTAATTTATACAAATAGATTTTTTTTTAAATCTCTAATTTGCGAGGAAGGGGCGGGACTAGATAAGCTTTTTGCTTCATTCTGTTCCTTCTCAAACTATTTATTTTGACATACGTATGTTGTGACAGTTGTTTAGTGTACACATGTATTATTTTGTTTGGTGTTTTTGTTTCAAGTTGTTTTTTGTTGTTCTTAATGTTTTAGATAAGAAAGAAGAAAGAAAGGACAACTTTGTTTATATGGTTTTAGTGACAGTATTTGCTTCAGTATGGAGATCATTATTTCTACGTAGTTTTGGAAATATTGTTGAATATTCACTTATATGTTGTCATTCAGTTCTGTGAGCTCTGATAGCCATGTGATCAAGAGACGAGAAGTATTTTACTGTGAAGGATTCTGTTGTTGTAAACAAGTGTGGCAAAGCAACACATTGATTTGACTTTGTGAACATCTATCTAATAAGATGAGTATGAAAATAGGTGCAAAGACTCAAAGGCTTCAAAGAAGTATAAAGATAGCAAACCTCAGTAATCATGCATGTGAATTATGGGTTGTCATGGCAATCATTTAATTATCTACAGAGATAAAAAAAATCAGTACACTTCTCAGGAGTTACTATCCATCATCCAGTACAAACCAAAATAGTTTTTATTCTGTGTGCTCAGAAACCAAAAACAGATTTTTGAATAAGGCAATAAAACAATAAAAGCAGCAGCAGCATCGTCTTTTCTGCTCTCTCAAGTCGATTCTCCAACTTTGCTGTTTACGCTCGATCTGACGTAAGATAGCCTGCTGTCTGTTTTTGCCCAGATGGATGAGTCACAGTACTTCAGTCTGTGCGCAGATAGATGGAGTGACTATTTACTTCTTTCCGTCTAATGTGTGATCACTCTCAGGTGTACACCATGAAACACAACGACAGATGAGGTTTGGTAGAATTTTAACTTTAATTTATCTGAATTTTAATCCCTGTGGAAACGAGGACAGAAGTTTAAAACCAGATTTGACAGTATTGTCACAACTCTAGACTTTTTATCCCTCCTTTAATGAGGCTCCTACAAACGTTTACGTTTTTTTTAATACACCTAATTTTTTTAGTATTGATGCTGTCAGTGTTTGACTAAGTAAATAGAGTATTAACGGCTGTTTTCAGTCCTGTTGTTGGATTGGCTGACTGCTGTTAACCCCCTTTCCTTCTGATAGATATGAACACCAGCCGTTTGTCTCCTGTCTGGCCGGCCTCTACGGTTGCCAATGGAGACGATACCAAAGAGCCCGGGCCCAGCCAGGGGAGTGCTGCTGCAGCAAGGTAGACACAACACACACACACACACACACACACACACACACACACACACACACACACACACACACACACACACACAGTTGGGTTAGCTGCTGATCTTGCACACAGCATTGATTCCCTGGCCGGTTTCCCTCTGTCCGAGCTGCTGACTCCAGAAGTCAGTCACTGCTTTTCTCTGAAATATCCGCACATACAGTGAAACTCTGTCAGCTGGTATCAAAATTTACTGCTTTCATACAGACTCTTTTTGCCAGATTGTGTAACATCAGCAAAAACCTTATTTTCAGTGTAAACCTTTAACTCTTTACAACAACAGCTTTTTTTTAAATATAAAAAAGAAAAAAAATCAGCCTCAACTTACTTTAGCTTTTATTAAAAAAGGCACACACACACTTGCACTTACACACTCATGAAGTTACTGTGACGGGTGTGTAAACCATGATGGATCACTGTAACACTTTGATGAAGCGCTGGTCTCTATTCAATGCAGAGTCTCTGTTACTTTAGAAAATAAACTCTCAAATCGAGGCCAGATCTAGATCATGTTTATCTAGGTATCACTGTGGTGAGAAGGTGTGTGTGGATGCGTCTGTATGCTGATGACAAGGCAGCATGGTTCATCCCAAAAAGGTTCAGAGAAAGGGGAAAAACTGAATCTTGCTTTTTCTAGCAAAATGACAAAAAGACTGTGGTCTAAAAAGGTCATGTGACCTGGCAGAGGGAAGACAGCGAGTAATTTACTGGAGCTCCAAACATGCAAGTGTCTCAGGGTGTCTCGTAAAAGCATCAGGCTGAAGGGTAAAGAAATCTATGCCGTGGTGAGTGACAGGAAGGTCTGAGACGATTGCCGAGGGAGGGCCTGCTGGTTTGATCGATTTCTCTGCTGCGACCACTTCTCTGTCAGGAGACGAACAACCACCATTACCTGAAGGACGTCAGGCTCTCAATAAGATAATAATGAACAAGATTAGGCTGTGGAAGACTCTTCTTAACACCTGTCACGAATTAAGGCAGGCTGAGTTTGAGATAAAAACAAATAAAACTGCGGACTACTAATGTTCGTTTTAGGGTACGTATAAGAGTGAGACAACACATGACTTCTTCCTCTCTCTGTCTCTCTCTCCCCCTCTCTCTCAGGTGGAGTGTGGGAGTTTTGGCCTGCTGATCCTCACCTTCTTCCTGAGTTTTTTATTCCTGTATTTCTGGAGTGAGGCTCAGAATGACTACAATGACTTTGACTGGTAGGTTACTCACACACTCACACTCACACAGAGCACGTTCTTTCTGACGTAAAATAAAATGAATCATTCAGCCTTTTTTTGTAAACACGTGTCACAGTCGCTCCTGAAAGGTGTTTACTGTACGTGTTGTTCTCCTTCAGGTTTAACTTTGGGACTCTGGGTTTCTGGTTTCCCTGGTCTCTGGTCCTGCTGGTCGTCGCTGCAGCTCTCTTCACATACATCGCACTGCTTTTGGTATGCACACTGATGGATTTTCAGCCGGTTACATTTAAGCTCTTGCACAGAGGTGCGGTTAACACAGTAATGATAAAAAACTCTTTGCAGGTCATTAGAATGTGTTAATGATCTGCAGAACAACATAATATAGACTATAAGTTAAATAAACTGTGTGCCTCTACATTATTGAGCAGGACATACTAAGTATTACAACTCTACGTTTAAATAGTTTTCCAGTGAGTTCTCAGTGTTTTGTGATAAGTGGAGTGTGCAGTTACAGTGGAGTGTGCAGACTCTTGTGCGTCTCTCGTAACCCACATGTGTTGTTCTGCTAAGATGGTAAACAGGAAGACGGCGTCTCTCTGGGGCAGATGGCGTCATATTTAGGTTGAAGGAAAACGTTTTTATCCTTTTCCAGGCGCTGTCACGGTCCTGGGTTAGAGGCTTGACATAGATGTGTGTGTTTTAAACAAATGTTTATTTATGAATGATAAAGAAAAATCACTTTTTAATCTTCTAGGGCCCAATGAGACAGCTTTGAATCGTTGTCCTTTAAAAAGAGAGGAAAATAAACAGTTTTCTTAATCTCAGGTGGAAATCAACACATTTCCCTGAGAGCTTTGAGTGACAGTCGTCTGCTTGACTGACATGACAAAATTATGTAATATTTGTTATATAATTCAGTGAAATAGACTCAAGGAGAGATCTAAATCATTTCAATAAATGAGCCACGGAGAAATAAAGACGGGTCTGTAATATCTTTGCTTCTGTTATTTTAAAAGATGATGAAGTTTTATAGAAATATCGGTCTGAACTGGTTAAAATTGGTCTTGTTTTTGTTTGCTTTTCTCTAAATTTGTAAAGCAGCTTTTTAATGTAATTAATGTTTCTAAATGATGTCTAGGTGCTGGCTGTGTGTCTGCTTACTGAGGGCCAGAGGTTATACCTGCACTGGAGCCACAAGGTACCATCGAAACACACAGAGAATAAATATGGATGGAAAGATGGGAGAGGAGCACACTGATTGTTGTTGTATTTGTAGAATAAGCTGTCAGGAGTCATTGTTCTTGTCCTCCTCTGTCTATCAGACTGGTATTGTGGTGACTCTGGCGTTCTCGGTCATTGCGACTGCTGTCCTGTCCGACCTTTGGAGCAAAGAATGGAAGACCCTCCTTCTGTCCCTGCAGGTCAGTGGATCATGAAACACCTGCCGGATAAAACAAAGAGGTTCATTTTAATACAGGTCACCGAGTGTTGAGTCAAAGACAACCAAGGAGGATAAACTCTTCTTTTTGTCTCTAATTCAAGGTAACAGCACCGTTCCTTCATGTGGCTGCGGTCTCGCTGATGGCCGTTCTCTCCTGGCCGATAGCCTTTCACTTTTTCCGCATGAACAGGAAAGGTGAGTAAGACAGTGAGTCCTTTTTAACGGACATTATGAGGGAATTTTGTCTTTTGGACCCGTATGAATGTGAAGTTTAAAAGCAAATCAAGTAGAGAAGTGGGAACGACACTGATCCTCCTCAAAACCATTTTTGTTGCTGCATCATTGAGGTGGTTTTCTTACGCAGCAACTGTCAGTATTGTTGAGGCTGAACCCGCAGGTGAAAGGACCAAGACCTGCAGGTTCAGGGAGTGTAATAAGACTGATCAGAATGACAAGAGTTTATAATTATGTAACATCTCCTCACATCGTACAACACGACTTAGTCTTATGACCAAAACACAGGAAAGTCCCACTTCATATTCGAAGACTGTGACGTCTCCTAATTAAGCACCAGTCTACATTTCAGGGAGTCGAAACTACAAGTCTATCATGCCGAAAAGATTGAACTGAACAAGGTCACCAGTATGAGGCTCTGAGCTGAAACAATGACAGTTACTTGGTGAGCTGTTGTATCAAACAACCTCTCAGACAAAAAGATCTACAGACCGCAGGGAGCAGAAACGTTAAAATCACATATTGACTGATCGCTGGCAGGAAAGGAAGGTTTCCCATCTTACAGGTATTAGTGCTGAGCTGCCCGCTCGCCCGCCCGACAGGAATAAACCTGCTCTGTTACCAAACATACTCCACAGCAGTGACGCACTTGTCTGGCATGGATTACACAGCTGCACAAATTTACTATCGTCCGTCTTTCTTTCTCTTCACCGCTTCTTAACGAGGAACCAATGTCTCATTTGCCTAATCAATACTGCACTTGTCCCTTAGTCTCTCTGATGCTTCCTGTCCCTTCTTCATGTTAGTGTGTTTTTTTCTGTCGGTCTGGGTTGGGATCTGGGTTTTTCTTCATCAGTCAGACGTCCTTCATTCACGGCTGCTGTCTTCTTCTTCTTCTTTTCCCTCGTCTTTGGGTCACTCTGTCTGCTTTCTAACTGACTGCATTTTCCTCTGCACCAAGTAGCTTTGACCTCTATGTCTCCCTGTCTCTCTTTGGTCTCCATGGGTACTGTCCCCTGTTACCATAGTGACTCAGTGGCTAGAACGATGCTGACTCATGCCAAGGGTCTCCCCTGGCAGGACATAAAGAAGAGACTGACTCGCCCAAACACAGGCTGTGATATAGTTTCATTAGAGTCACAGCTTCAAAGGGTTTCTTCTTTAAACTCGAGCACTTGAAGTTATTAAGAAGAAAGATGTTGAATGAACCTTCAAAAAGATCCTCAAGATTGTTTGAAAAAATCCAAAATTTACTGCCCTCAACAAAAGAAGAGCTAACTTAGTAAAACTGTCGACAAACCAAAGGATATGGGAGGTAGTCGGTTCAACTTAAAACTGTTAAAGAGCATCAACTTACATTTTTATAACCGTCATTTGGAATATTTACTAAAAGAGAGACTGGGCACCTCCTTTAAACTCAATATTTTCCCCTCTGATGCAAACCTGATAAAGAGGATGAATAGGTAGGTAGGAAGGAAGGAAGGAAGGTCGGTAGGATACACTTTAGTTAAACTGACAAACTGACATAAAACAAAACAAAATAACACAACAAAGAATTTATATCATGTTCTTTCTAAAAAAAGCCTTTGTAAATCAGTCATCTATTAATAGTATTAATATTTATTAATATTAATATAAATGCTTTTTGAGCAATTATTGGCAATAAACCATTTTTGACAAACTGTTCAACTCATCTTTAAATTACACTCATGATTTTGTGAAGTTGACTCTAAAAGACCAGACTTGGCCACACCTGCTGTTGCTCAGCACTTCACCACAATCTTGATCCTATCAAGAAAGATTCACAGTTATTGATCCTGATCAGTACGATTATTTGAGCCATAGGTCTCCAGTATTTTGATCCTATTATTGGTTTGTGCTTTTATGTGTTTGATAATGTTAAAACATTCTGTAATCTGATTAAACATTACTCTGAAAAGCGTACAAAAGACCTCGTTCACCACATGACGTTAATACCTGTACACACTGGTGTCTTTGTGCTGTTGTTTGTTCTTCAGTGCGTCAGGTGGCAGTCTTGGGTCTCTTCCTCTCCGTGCTCTTCTCTCTCTACCTGGTCCCTTTGGGGATGTACTCACCCTGCATCAAGGAGGCAGGAACGCTGGGACCGGCTCCGAGACTCTTTGGACACAGAGGAGCTCCGATGGTGAGACTGAGCTAAAGTGAAGAAATAACATTACAGGGAGTATCTGTGCTGTAGTTACAGAGCAAAGCAGTAAAGAAACACGTCTGTTAAGGTGCAATAAAAGTCTGTGTTTAACGATAAATAATGTCCACTGGTTTTAAATGTATTTGTCTCATTTTTTCTCACGTGTCTACAGCTTGCACCCGAGAACACAGTAATGTCATTTGAGAAAGCTCTGGAAGCTGGAGGAGAAGGACTGGAGACAGATGTTACCATCAGGTATGAACCGCTCTGTCTTCTAAGGCGACATCTGAATATTTGTTTAAGATGTGATCACGCATCATTTAATATACCAAGACTGTTGGAGAGTGTGGAACTGCCCCCTAGTGGTAGGTTTGGCAACACATGCAAACTTTGTGCTGCAGCTCTCAGTTCCTCTTGGTTTGATAGCTGGTATGAGCCTCTCCATGGGGACTTATGGTGTGTGTGTGTGTGTGTGTGTGTGTGTAGACGAGCAAATGCTGTTGTGGACTTGATGCCTGTGAACAGAATATATACATACATATACATATTTCTAAATGATCACAAACTCTGGTCCATGTACAGCTGGTTTAGAAGGACTCTTAGACTATACTGAGACCTTTGACTGCCTGTGATTATCTCTTTGTTAGGAACAGCTGATAAAGTGAACAAACGGATCATCAGTGTGTTAACTCGCTGAGTTTCCATTCAACAGTGAGAAGCCGTGTCGGTGCCTCGATGCTAATTGTACAGATCAGATCAGATGCTAGCGTGCTGCCCTCTGCGCTAAGATGATTACTGCATCGCTAATCCAGTTAGCTGTTAGCTCCTCCGTTAGCCCACTGCTGGTGATCGAGCACACTGTCTCACAGCCTGAAAAAACAAGATTAGCAGCACAGTATGACTCAGGGCTAGCCAGTTACCTTGGTACCATGCAGCCTGGGTGTGTGTCTGTGTGTGTCTGTGTGGTGTGCATGAATGACTGTTCCTACCTAAACTGCCGTGAGTTGAGTGAGGGATTATATAAGTTTGTGATCGTCCATAAACATGACTGGAAACTTGAGTGATCGATGGCGATGACGGTCTCAGTGACATGTCTTCATGATGGACAGACAGTGAGATCTTCCTGCGACCACATTTCCTCAGACTGCAGGTGTTCAGAGCAGGAAGCTCTGGAGAATTAAAAGCTTCTGATTGGCTCTAATTGTCACCTTCCTCTCCTTCCTTTGATTAAATCCCTCCTAACTATCCTCCCTTTCTTCCACTCGTGTTCTTTTGCAGTACTTACTTTTACAGTCTGTAATTTTTCCACCCTAAATCATGTTTTTTTATTCCCATTATCCCTCTCTGTAGCTACGACGGCGTCCCCTTCCTGATGCATGATTCTACTCTGAGGAGAACCACGAATGTTGCTGAAGTTTTCCCAAACCGAACGGACCTGGATGCCTCTATGTTCACTTGGGCGGAGCTACAGCAGCTGAATGCTGGCGACTGGTTTTTAACGGTGAGACCGTCATAAACACACACTCAGCCTAAAGTTAAACACGCGGCTGAGATGGTTCAGGAAAAGTCCACATGTTTTTTCTCTGGGTGGATTTCAGACTAAACTCTGATCCAAAGACTGAAAACCTGGAAACTCTGATTTTACGGACGTCTGAGTGTTTCTTTTTCGTTCTCTCACTGCCGACAGAGGGATCCATTTGGTACAGTATCCTCACTGTCTGACGCAGACTGCTTCCAGGCCCAGAACCAGTCAGTTCCCTCGTTGGTCCAGTTCCTGGAGGTTGCATCCCGTAGTGGCAAACTGGTGCTGTTTGACCTGCACAGGCCACCACATGAGCATCCCTACAGTCAGACATACATTAACACCACGCTGCAGGTGGTGCAGGCCCACATCAACTCCTCACAGGTAACCAGACAGGAGTGGTGTGAAAGTGGACTTCACATTATATTCATGATGTTTGTTCGTACAGATGTGTGTTTACTGTGTGGTTCTGAATGTGTGTGTAGGTGCTGTGGCTGCCGTCTGAGGACAGGGCGCTGGTCCAGGCTCTGGATCCAGAACTGCAGCAGACTTCAGGGGAGAAGGCCTCAATCCAGGAACTGGCAGAAGACCACATCACCAGACTGAACCTGCACTACAGCACTATGTCCCAACAACAGATCAGGTATTTTAATTATACACTGGAATATTATGTGTATATTAAATATTATTATATATAATGTTTATAGTTAAACATATATAAGCTCAGTAATTATATATATTTATCTAAACGAACAGCTACCTCTTTATACATGTGTGTCAGTATATACACATGTATACTTGAGCTTCATAAATCGATAGATGACTATATTACTTAGAGATTTTTAAAGTCCTGCTTTTGTCTGTTTTTTAATCACAATAATGTCTTTAAATTTGAAATGTTCCTTTAAAAACAACCACCAAAAGAAATATAACAGTTGAAATACATATAATATTACTCTATTAAACACGATAATCTTTTTGTAGATAGATAGATAGATAGATAGACTTTATTGATCCCAAACTGGGAAATTCTCATGTTACAGCAGCGAAAAAAACAACATTTAATTAAATATAACAAGTATGTACAATGCAGACTAAAAATACTAACTATATACAATAAATACAGACTAAATATACTAAACATCCTAAGAGAAAAAAGTGAGATCTGAAAAACGGGGTTTATTGAAATGAGTAATAAAATAATAGTATCTGTTATCAGCTTGCTCCCCTCCTGGAGGATGACACTGGTCAGCTCAGGAGTTACAAACCCTGTTGACAAGACCACGAGGGGTTGTGTGAGTGTGTCCATGTGTGTACATGTGTGTAGTCATGTAAGCTGAGGCACAGATGGCCACTGTCCTCCGTGTCTCCATCGTGTTTCTTGTTGAACAGCTTCAGGGAAGTGAGAGGAGGAGGGAGGGAGTCTAAGGTCAAGCAGGTAAGACAAACTAAAAAGGAGAAGAGAGGAGAGGAGAGGGGTAGAGACAGCTCGGAGTTTATATGAGAGGAGGAGGAGGAGGAGGAGGAGGAGGTTTAACAGAGAGGTTGGTACAAGAGAAAAACTGAAGAGGAACGAGCTTGATGGAAAAAGCCCAAAAAGCGGTCGAGGATTCACACCGACTGTTTTCAATAAAAGCACACACTCATCAGAACTTCTAAATATCAGCTCTCGTAGGACTTTGTCATCCACCAGAGCGCCTGTTGGGATGAATCATACTGTTGCATGGTGAGCCTACGGTCTCCTCATCGTTGTGCTCACAGGGCTTTATTAGGCCTTTGTCTTTTATGTAACCACAGCAGTATGTTAAAGTGAACTGTTCAAACCTTCATCATGGTTTTTATGGTTCTACCGCTCTGTGAGTCACTGTGATGGAATCAACAAATATGCTGCAAACTCGAAGGAGAAGGAGAAACCCCACCATCTTGACCTCACTCTCCGTCAGAGGTCACAGCTGAAAAATGATTCAGATTACACAACTCCTCTACATTATACAACTCCAGGTTGTGTAATCTACCAAAAGATGAACTTCCTTCAGTCCTGACCCCAACAGATGATCATTAGACCTTCAACCTGACGATGATGCCGCTGCTCTCTTCTCAGACACTTCAGTCCTTTGTTTCTGCTCCAAACCCTCTTTCTCTTTCTGCTCTCTCTTATTCCCTTATTGTACTTTTCTGAGAAAGTCTGAACTACACAGAATATATTTGATGCATCTGGGCTGTTCCACCCGTCTTACCTGTTTCTAAGGTTGGAAAGTCACTGCAGGTGTATATCTTTACCTTTTTACCTGCTCTGTTGGTGAGACACTTGATTGCTTTGAAGGTTGGAGTATAACTGTAATAAACCGTTTTAGATTCTTCTGACTGTGAGCAGAAAAGGCTCAAATAAAAACCTGATCAACCCGCGACTCATGGAGAGACAGTAAAATAAGAAATAAATGATATTTTAAGGCTTTTATGTTCCCCTAAATATTAAACGGAAAGCTCTTAAAGGATTATAAAGTCCACGAGGGAGAATGCAGTTATTACATTTTTGCACCCTCCATTGACTCATATTTAGTTTTACCCTCCCCGTCTTCAGAGGCTCTCAGGTAAATTCATTAAAAATAACTCAGGCTAATGTCACCCAGAGAGGGAGGAAGTCTCTGGAGGAGCTCGAGTGTAAAATGATTTTTGTTTTTATTTAAATGGGAGTGAGGACAGCGTGGGTTTGATGGGATGATGTTGGGGTTTTATTTTGTACCCATGATGAGTCTGCAGAGTGTCGGGTCTTGGTGAGGCCCGGGTCTCTGAGGGTATTCTTCGGTTCCTGTTTCTAAGAGGTGACGTTGTTGTCTTCTCTCTTCTTCTTCTTCTTCTCTGTTCACAGTAAATACCAGTCAGTAAACATCAGCACCAACCTGTATGTGATCAGTCAGCCGTGGCTCTACACTCTGGCCTGGTGTGCAGGAGCTCAGTCCGTGACCACCAACTCCATCCACATCCTGTCCAACATCAGACAGCCGCTTTTCCTCATGGTGAACAGATTTATCTCTTTCTCGACGACGTTACGACAGAAAAGTTTAGACTCATTTTAAAAAAAAGGAGTTTTTAATTTGAGTAAATTTAGTGAATCCAGTTGAGCGTTTATATTTCCGTGCTCTTCTGCTCCGTGCCTCTCACTGAGTGGGCGGGCAGGAGGTTTGGTATCAGCTTGAACATCTCCTCAGCAGGTGTTGTGGGTGTTTGAAGAGTGAGTCTGTGACCTTCCAGTTACATAAACCTTCTATCTCACCGCCCACACGTCTGTACATGCAGTTTGATTACATTTTTAATCTGATAATAACACAAGGTTAGGACGAATACTCTGTGCTGATTGAGTTAGATAATAATATTCATACTCACAGAGTTTATTTCAGATAAAGTCATCAACCCTTTTCTCTCTGCGCTTCTCTGCAGACTCCAGAAGAGTACACGTTAATGTGGATCCTGACTGACGCCGTGTCTGCCCTCCTCATTATTACAGTCTTCATATTCCATTGGTGCGTACACACACACACACACACACACACACTCTGCTCTCATAATTATCCTCCCTTGTTCTTCTAACGTCTGGTGCTTGGGTGGAGAAGCTGTGCACGGCTGAGTCATCTTGGCTGTTGATGAAGTTTATTATAAAAAACACAATCTGAGATCTCACTGTGGCGACACGATGAGAAGAGAGGTTGGAGTCGAATGTGTTTATGAAGATTTCTGTGAGGATGGAGAGTCGAGGTGTTAGAGGAACAAAGCTGCAGCTCCATGAACGCTGCGTCAAAGAGACTGTGCTGTCCTCCTTCTTTGAAAATAATCTATGCTGATATTTTGGAGATGTAGACCTCTTATAGAGATCTGTTTCAGCATCGATGAGAGATGAAAAACTTTTCCAGAGAAAACAAAGAAGAAAGTAGAGAAAGATCTTTTTTTGTGCAGACCAGCCAGAACCAAACCTGCAGAAAGACCGTGTTATTTCCATCCATCCATCCTGTCTTTGAGATGAGACTCGCTCTTCACCTCAGAGGACCTCAGAGTTTTTTATCGACCTCTTCTGGGGTTTAATGTTTTCTCTTCACCTCTCTTCTTCCTCTGGATCTTCTCGATATTCACACGTTCTCCTGCTTGTTCCGTCAAACATCAAAGCAGTTTTAGTGATAGATGAGACAGCCTCAAAGCACTGCTGGGAAACACACACACACACACACACACAGCTGTTTGTTCTCCGCTGCTCTGATGTCTCTCTCTCTCTCTCTCCCTCGTGTGTGTGTGTCACAGGTGGAGAGAGAGAGGCCTGCCCTTCTGGTCCGGCAGCCGTCAGACTCACGAGACTGGACCATACAGCAAGTTCAGGACGGGTATGAGAAGCTTTCCTCCCCCCTCACTGTTACTGATGTTTATTATGTCTGTTATATCGTCTCATCGTGATCAGATCCGGACTTCAGAATATTTTTGCTCATTAATTTTATAAAAGACAAAGTAGAAAATTAACATAATCACAGAAAAACTGAATTTATTTGAGCTTTTAGATTTAAAGAAAGATACGAAACACAGAGAGAAAACTGAAATTAGTTTCCCTACCTTTAGAGCTGTCCTTGGAGTGGAAACTTTCTGTGCATGCTGTGAACTCCTCCTGCTGTGTCTGTGTGTGTCTGCATGTTTGTGTGTTTGTCTGTGTGTGTGTGTGTCTGCATGTTTGTGTGTGTGTCTGTGTGCCAGACTCGGCAGAAGTCATCTGTGTCTGCTGGAACCCCCTCCATCTCGAACCCCCTGCTGGAGGTTTCGTGTCTCTCCCCTCAGTCTACGACCCGTGACGCCCTGCATGTCAGTCCCTCTGAAACCTTGTAGGATCCCAAACTTGTGTGTGAACTGTACAGCTGTATTTGTTTTGCTGTTGTTAATCTGCTGAAACCCTTTTTAAGACATGAAGAAAGTGCAGAAGAACATCTGTTCATTTCTCTACGGCGGTCAGAAAACCAAACACACAAAAACAACAAAGTTTTAGAAACAGTCATGGAGTCAAGAACCTGTGCTTCAAAGGGTCTTGGACTAATTACTGTTTAAAAGAAAAAGCACTCGGCATGTTTAGTCCAAGTCCTTTTCAGGTGTAGCTGACATGGAGATCTTTAATCTGAGATATTTAATCTGAGATCTTTAATCTGAGAGATTCATGAGATTAAAATTAAGATTTGGTGCCATTTGCTCCAGGAGATGATTTAATCAACGGTTTAGCCTGTCACATTTAGTTTTGTCATCATTTGATAAAACCTGTAAGTGTAGATCAGCGATAAAAGGAAGTATGTGGTGTTTGATCTATGATTTAATTATCGGCTCCTACATTCACAGCAGGGCAGATAAGGAGAATGAACCTTTAAAAGGAGATCTAAAAGACTCTGGTTCAGTCTTTCTGTGGAGGACGGAGAGAGGCTGTCACAGTTTTCAGACATGTCCTGGACCTGTAACACGTCTCTCTGAACCCCAGAAACAGGAGGAGGAGGGAAGTTGGTAAAAGAATTAAACAGATTTTTCTGTTTTCTAATTAAAAAGATTCATTCTTGGTCCGTCCGGTTGCTTTAATAAAAATCATTTTCAAGCATAATTCAGAAAAGACGGTGATATTTGTCCAAACTCACTCATGGCACAGACAAGAGCAGGTGGATAGCGACACCTAGTGGTTGAGTTTTTACCAAGAAAAGTAGAGAATTGTGTAACTGTGACTCCTCCTGACATCATAATGAGTTTAGATTAAATTGTCATGATAGAACCGCAGCTCAGCTTCACATTTCCTGAAAATGAAGTGGATAAATATAGATAACTATAATAATAATAATATTACATAATAATATAATATAATAATAATAACTAGAGAATTTCCCAGTTTGGGATCAATAAAGTACATCCATCTATCTATATCTTCAGTAGGAGAAGAATAAGAATTCTGACTGTAGCAGCTGTTTGCTCGTCAACACCATAAAACTCCATGTTTTAATTTGGTCAGTATCATCCAAACACGTAAACCAGATTTGTGCTAAAAAGGGTTTTTATTGCAGGATTCTCGTCTTTGTCTTTACAGCTGCACCAAATATCAAAGTTTGATTACATTTCTGTTTTCATCTCTGCGTTTATTGACGCCTCTCTGTTAACTTCTGCGTCTGTCAGTGTTTGTTTTTTTAACCCTGATGTTACCTGTGCTTGGCTCCTTACCTGTGCTCACACAAACCTGACGTACTTACCTGCTCATAGACTACGCCCCTGCTTCGAACCCTGTGCCCTGAAGTTTGTCATCTGTGTCCGTTAACATCGTCCCTCTCAGATGAAGGAGTTAACTGTTCGTTGTTTGGTTTTTGCAGAGCTGAGCGACGTATGGTCCGTTTCCAGTGTTCATGTCCGGCCTGACCTCCGGAGCACGCCAAGCTCCCCCAGCACCCCTCACCTGCCCACCATCACAGAAGAGTGAGAGAGGAATGAGAGAGAGAGAGAGAGTACAGACAGGCAAAGAGAGAGAGAGAGAGAGAGAGAGGGAAAGAGGAAGAGGAGGTAAGAACAGAGAAAGCGCAGCAGATGTGAGTCAGACAGTTTCTTTAGGAGGAGACGGAGAGTTAGAGCTGGTTCTCGATCAATCTGCAGTAACAAACTCAAAGACAGTTCACATTCAGTCGTTCTGTTTTAGCTTTAGTGTTCATGTAGGACTGCTTCACTCTAATAAGAGGCTGACTAAAACACTGTCTTTAGGACCCTGAGGGACAGAGTATCTGTTGGAGCTCAGATCAGAGAAAAGTGTTTCGGTAGTTTGAGAGTCAGAGAAATCTCCGGCCTGTCCTCCCGTATCCTTGACCAAACTTTGGAGCGCTGCCTGAAGGAACTGAACTTCATCCTGCACAGATCTGCACAGACACTCAGTGGACACCAGCCCAGCTGCACCCGTGTTTATGACCATGCTGTAATCTCACAGGAGCCCGGACAGTGAGAACATTTTCATCCTGTGTCGTTTTAACTTCACCAGCTGAGACGTAAAGGAAACTAAACCTCACAAAAGAAAGGAGACACACGGAGAATTTACTGTTTTTAGTTTCTTTCATTCTTCCTGTCTCATGTTTGTCATCGTCGAGGTGAAAATGAGACAGTGAATGTGAACCTTCAGCAGGAGACGTGGACAATGAGAAACAGGACTGAGGATCTTCTGTGGGAGCTTTCTTCATGCCCAGGCTGTAAATATATGAGGAGCTTCGACCAAACGTCATCCATGTCTGTGACTCTGGTTGGACTGACAGACTGAATGTAAATCTACAGAATTAAGGAGATATTATCAGTTATTATTATTCATGATTAATACTTTAGTGAATGTATCATGAAGCTGGGCTGTGTTTCTGAAAAGCATGTGGAGAGTTCGGGGCTGGAAGTCCTCTCAGTTTGTGCCAAATGTAGAATTAGCTGCTGTTAAAACTGCTGAGGATGCTTCTGAAAACCCTTTTATGAGGCGGTGAACACGACATCTGCTTCTCCTTAAATTTATGCACAAAGACCTTGAAGGAGGAGGTGCCATCATAAAGTCTGTCTGCTCTTGGTTCTCCTAACCTGTGTTAATCTTGGAGGGTTTTCTAGTGTTTGGGACAATGATGTTCTGATGGGGTTTACTCAGTGTGCTGCACAGTGATGGAGAAGTGCAATTAAAGCTGCTTTGTTTTCATGTTTTAGTATAAGAAAACAAGTATTTATACAGAATAGTTCATGTACAGCAGTTTTGAGAGTATAATAATAGTTTCTAATGGAGCTCTTCTGCTGCAGATCCATATTTCAGCTAATAGGTGTAACATTTAATCTGCAGCCTGAATCTTTGTGCTCCACCTGCTTTCATTGAATGGAAGTGTTAGCTCGCCTGAACTGATTTGTTCTTCCTCTATGATAAACATTAGACTCCTTCAGTTAAGATCCTTAAGCGTCTCTGAGAGACTTCAGGTTAGTCTTTGTGTGTCCTGCTGCTTCTGTTGTTATTTATTTAGACACGACTTCTGACTGATACAGACTGACAAAAACCTTTATGATCTGGAGTAATGTAGGTTCAGCTGCAACCATAAATCTTCATGTACTGTGTAGTGATATTGAGAAGTGTTCAGCACTTAGTAACTGACCTGTTAGATCCGCTCAGTATTTCAGCTACAGCTATAAATCACTGCAAAGCCATATTTACTTTATCAAACCTGTTTTTCTGCTCGTCTAAAATAAGCTTTAGGGGGACAAACATGAGGTTATTTTAGCAGACAAGAGTCTCTTATAATTTAATCTACCCCACCTGTCTGTTAAAGAAGCTTTCTGTAAGAAATACTCAACCCTGTTCTTACTGTCAGTGTTGGCGTGTTCAGCTTCTTCTGGCTGGAGCGTCGATTAAGAGTTTAATTCATTCAAAACTTATTGATTATCTTTATAACTGTTGGATAAAACGGCAGCGATCAAGAGGCTTTGATCAGAGTGAGACTAACACAGAAACTGTGTGTCTTTATTTATTCAGATTTATGTCATTTGTTAAATAAACTCTCATTCAGAAGACCACCACCATCTAAATAAGAAAATAACCTGAAGACTGTGTCTCAGTCTCATCGACACGTCCAGGTGTGCTGATGTCTGACTCACATACAGGTGAGCTTTGCATGCTGCTCTGCATGCCGCTTCAGTGAAGATGATAATGTCAGCTGACTCTTATTATTGTGGTCGACCAGAGTTAGCGGAGACAAGGCTGTCACACAATATTACTAATCCAGAGTGGTCAATACAGTCGAAGTGGACTCCAGCTGACAGGGTTATTGATCGGGGTTAAACAGTCGAGTTTGTTTTCTGATCTGATTGTCTGTAGTATTATTGTCAGATTTTTTCAGTTTGATTTTCTTCTACAGAGTAATTTCACCTCTTTTTTACTGTACCTTCTCTCTGACTGTATATGCTGTTGTCTTCTGGTATTAAAACATCAGAACAAAGTTCACCCTCAGCTCTCACTCTTTACTGCCTTTAATGATCGTTTTCTTTGTTTACATGATGAATTTATTTTTGTTTCATTATTGAACATCAAAACTGTGCCTCAAACCTCACAGATAAATCCGTTCATTGACTTTCATTAATATTGAATTTATCTCTGTTGAAGAAATGATGCAGCTCCATCGTCAACACACTTACATGATCAATGTCTATACCATGATTTAGATGTAGATAAGTGTAGAGTGGAGGTTCTGGTGCATGGAGCTCCTTCTCCGTCCTTCTCCGTCCTCTCTCTGTCTGTGTCTCTAACTCTGAACCATCATGTCCCGTCAGAGTCTCTGATTCGGTCTTTTCTGGGAGTCCCTGAGGTCCACCGTCCTGTCGGTTCTTCTGGATCACTGATGCTGCTGCAGACGTCCTGCTGCTTTGTTTTGGTAAGGCGTCTTGAAGTGACATTTGTTGTGTTTTTTAATGGAGATTAGTTTATTAAAATCAGCTGCACGTCATAAAATATTATCATTAAGTTTTAGTTTGAGGATTACATTTCCTCATTGACCTTTTCTTGACCCATATCAGCTTCAGTGTTGTTTTGACAGAGGACAAATAAGTGTTTCTGAGATTGTAGTCGTTGTGAGTTTAGTCAGAACACATTTATTAAACGCTTTCATACAAAATTTAACGGATATTACACGTACCACGAAAACCACAAACAGCTGAGACGGTCGGGGACAAATTCAGGATAAAGAGACTTCACAGCCAGAAAAGTCCAATTTAGTTCAACAAGGAAGAAAAACAGAAAAACAAAAAGGTATCAAAAGAGTTCATTGGCACTGTTAAAATACCAGTTAGTGACAAAAACAAAGGGGACAGTGCAGGTGGACAGGTGAGGCATTCATCATCACAGAAACAGGTCGAAATAAAGATGAAAAAAACAGAAAAGGACGGACTGAGAGAGAGAGAGATTCACACAAACAAAAGAGACTTTGATTATTAAATTATTAAAGTTATAACTAAAATTAAACCCTTTATTACTGAACATTAAACTTCATTTACTATTACACTTTGAATGGACAGTTTAGTAGGACACGTGCTAATCTGGGTTTGTTATTATACTGATTAAAGTTTGTGGAGGTGAAGCCTCCTCACTTCTTATCCTGATTCATCCTTTTTTTCATGCTAACACTCCATATGAAAACATGAATGTTAACCTTTGGGTCGCCTTACTGAGGATCAGAACCAGAATCTAGAAACCCTCCTCAGGGGTTTATAAGTCTTAGAAATCTCTGCACCTTTAATCTTAAAGGCCTGATGTAAGCCGGGGTTAAATTTTTACGGTTAAATTAAAGTTCATGTTCTTAAGAGAAACATATCGGAGTTAAACTAGATGACTAAACGTCCACGTACGAGCTGCTCCAGGAAACGTTTTTAGTCCTGGATGTGAAAAACCTTCTTGATCTGGATCTACACTGACCTGTTAGTAACTCAGCTGCAGATCCATAATGACGGTTAGATAAGAGATGTAGACGTGAGGTTGATCCTTTAGGACTAAATCCACTGAGGCTACAGCAGCAGAGATCGGGTCTGTTATTATTAGAGTCATTTAAACTGGACTTCAGGAAGACTTTTGATTTGAGAGAATAAATGCTTTAAAGTTTTACCTGATGAATAAAAAAACTCTCACTGTTATTGGATGAAACTGAGTTTTAGATTCTCATGACAGAAACATCATCGACCCTGGTTCGAGTGACGTTACAAACAAAGATGATTTTTATGAGTTATGAATCTTCTTAAAGCTCCAGTGAGGAACTTTGAATGTTGGAAATGTTCAACATTATCATATCAAACTGTCACTGATGGTCTTTTTAATAAAACAGGAATAAATATGAAGTCTGTCAGTCTTTATCGTAAACGTCAGAGACCTCCCCACAGGAGCTTTAAGGTCCTCACTCTGTCATCCACATGAACTCTCAGGCGTTCATCAGCCTTATTCACTCTTCACAGAGTTAACTATGAAACTTTATTATATTTATTTAATCACACAGAGTAAAATGAAACCATCATAGTGACAGAAAAGGGTAAATACAGTTCGTCTACCTGCTGTAGTCCAGAGTCGGTCAGTCACAGATTTCAGGTCTTCAGACTGAGAAGACTCAAAGTTTTCTGAGGTTACCGGTTCTCAGGCTGAGACCTCCTGCTGGTCTTTGAGGTGGACTCAGTCTCCAGGCAGCAGGTGGACCATGTTCTGAACCAGCAGGTCTGCCTGTTGAGTTCTGATCCACACGGAGGGTTTGGACGTGTCAGAGGTAGTCGTCCTCGCTGGACGGCTCGTCCTCGTCGTTGTGGTAGCTGTATGGATGTCTGTTGCTGGGACCTTCGCCGGGGTCGTCGCTGCTCGTAGCCGAACTCTCGAACCCCGTGAGCTTCGAACCCTCTGAGCTAGCAGAAGGAGTGCGGCTCATCCTCCACAGCTGGTGGGCAAAGGTCCGCCCCCAGCTGCAGGGCTGGCCAATAGGGCGCAAGAGCCGGACAAGCTCCGCGGCCTCCTGCCAGTAAGAAGTTCACTTGCTGTGGCCCCGCCCGGAGCGCTGCTTGTTCATGGCGGTCAGCATCTGACTGATGTAGGAGGTCAGCAGGTCATCCATCTTATAACCCTGCAGGAGAGAGGAGAGAGGGTGAATCAGCTGATGTCTTCAGCTGGATGAAACAGCATGAAGAGTGTGTTTGTGTTCGTCACCCACCAGAGAAGTCTCACACAGCAGCTTGCTTCCTCTGACCAGGTTCCCGATGGTGATGTGGAAGTAGGTGTTTCCACTGCTCCAGTTGGAGATCTTGGTGAAAGGGTGTGTGGTCAAGATGTCCTGAACAGAGACGGAGAGAGAGAGAGGAGCCACCATGATCTTTGACGTCGTCTCATCAGGAAAACAAACTCAGTTAGTGACAAAGTTCAGATGAACGCCGTTCTCACTGACACCAGGCGAGAGCGGGTCGTCTCCAGACCGGCACTGACCTTGTTTTTGGGGTCGATCAGGCTGACGCCGTGCTTGTTGATGGCGATCAGCAGGATCTCTGGGAAGTTTGGCTCTGTTGTTTGCTGAAAACCAAAGTCAGATATTTGCTGTTAGTCCCTGAACCCTTTAAAAAAAACGTGATGAAACATCAGCTCATTCAGACTATTTCACTTCCTGTTAGACCAGGAAACACCAGGAACAACTTCTGGGTCCAAATCAGCTCCTGAAACGCTCAGATCAGGACTTTTCAGATTTAGGAGGTAAAAACTGTTTAAAGGCTCCGAGTGAAACAGGAAGAGACCAGAGTTTGTTTTAATGATGACTGGACTGACTTCAGATATAACAACAACAACAACAACAGCATCGTAATGAACAGGTGTGTTTACCTTAACCTCAAAGAAGGCGGAGCCAAAAGTCGGCCATTTGTAGATAATCTTCAGGAACATCAGTTTGGCCTCCTCCCTCGATTTCCCCGCCTGCTTGTTGAAGTAAGCGACCACAGACTACACACACACACACGCACACACACACACACACACACACACACACATTGGGCTTTCTCATATTAAAAAATAACTGATAAGATGTTGATAATAAAAGTTTTGTTGGTTTTAAAGTCTTTGTGAAACTCGTCAGATTTACTCTTTTCCAGTCATCTGGTGACATCTGACGAATGAGATCCTGAGGGACCAGCTCCCGGAGCATCTTGGGAATTGTAGGAAAGTGGGATTTATCATCCTCAAACTTGACGCGATAGATGAGCGCTGCCAGCTGGAAAACCTCCTCTCGGGAACATTTGTGGTAACCACGCAGGTATTTAGGAAGTTCCTGTTGGAAAGGAGAAGGTCGGCGAGAATCAGACGGACACCTGGACTTTGGAGAACCCTCAAATGAGTCCATGAAGGTGTCTCCTCCTGGTTTTGAGGACCAACCTGGTAGTAGTGAAAGATGGAGTCAGCAAAGGAGTCTTTTCCTGGGACGGTGTTGGTCCACAGCTTCTTCATGAAGAACACTTGATAGGTCAGAGAAGGAACGATCCCTGTGAGGCAGACGGGACAGAGGTGAGACATATGTGAGACCCAGACCTGAAGACACCAGTCAAAGCTCCTCCAGTGTAACCGGCTGGTGCAGGAGGATTGTCTGTTTCTGTGGATACTGTACGTTTGTGAGTGGAGAAGAAAACCCAAAGATCATGTTGTGTTAGAGTGTTTTTAAAAACACACAGTCAGCTTCTTAGGAAACTCAGAGAAGAACAAACCGTCTTTAGCAGGTCGAGATTTCTTGATCCAGTCGGTCAAATGTCTGACAAAGTCGAAGAAGAAGTCTCCCTCAGGTACGCTGATCACCTGTAAACAACAGCACAGAGAAATCAGCTGATTCATGAAAACTCATCCCACATTAAAGCTCCTCTCAGGAGTTTTTTAACGTCCACAAAAAAAGACAGAAACTCGTGATCACGGTTCTTAGAGCTCATTCTTATGGTAGTGCCATGTTCCATATTTGTGTTTTTACATTTCTCATGTAATTTTGATGTTTCCCAGTAGGGGGCTCCACCTGCATGTGTTTCCATGTCTCTTTAACGTATATCGTGCTGATTAGAGGCAGGTGTGTGTGTGTTTGACCATCAATTTGGTTGTTTTTTTCCACATTGTCAAAGACGAATCTGTATCTTTTAATGCAATTGTGCATTTTGTAACTTATCTGTGTGTTGTAAATAAACTCACGGTGGATTATTGTTGAACGGACCTGTGGAGCCGAATATTTTATTGACAGTGGCCCGTGAACGTGTCTCTCCGATTTTAAGCCGGTTTTGTATTTATTGTTTTTTCTAGTTGCAAGTAAGTCAAGACAAGACAAAACCTCTGATGATATCCAAGAGAAAACAAGATTATCAACAACATGACGGATGATTATTAGGACCTTATTTTCCAGAGCAGAGAAATCAACGTTCCTCCTGAGATATTCGTTTACAGTCAAAGTCTCTGGAGGAGGTTTTAGTTTGAGTGTTTGGAGAAGCAGACCTCCTCACTGTCTCCAAAAACTGTGATATCTTTTTATTTTTCTTCTTCACTTCAGAGAAACAACCTTTGACCTCTGACCTCTGACCTTATCTGAGATCTTCACAAAGAGGCTGAACCCTTCAGGAGACTTGAGCAGCAGTCTGGCTGAGATGTTCTGGCAGAAGTCCTTGGCTTTGGTGCTGGACTCCACCTCAAAGGCCTGTGAGGACCAAACACAACCTCAGTCCTGAAACCGCTCTTCCTCTCCACTCCTGGAGATTCATTCACGGTGAGTTCAGTGTCCTCATACCTCATCTGTATCATCGGGGAAATACACTTTGTGGAAGATCTGGGTGGTCTTATGTTGGATGGCCTCCACCTCCACCAGGTGAGGGGGGTACTTCCTGGACCCGTTACTGCTTCCATGACAGACAGACAGACAGACACGTACAGTCCTAAAGATCCAGTCTGATGTGGTCCCTTTAAGACAGTTATTTTACACACACACACACACACACACACTTTACCGTAGAGATTTGTGTAGTCTCTGCATACAGTCCCCGGACAGCGGGTGGTGTTTCTTGGACTGGAGGAAGCGCTGGATGTGCGGCAGCAACACGTTACTGGGAGGATACAGACCAGTACACAACCAGAGCAGCTCCCAGCCTTTCTCCTCACTGTACCTGCAGGAGGACATCACCTGTGTTCAGCACCTGGACTCAAATATCTGCTGGAGTTTCATACTAAAGGGTATTTTAGTAAACTGTAAAAGTGTTTGTGATCAAACGTAGATGTTGATGTTTTTCTAGAGCGACTCTAAAAGCAAACAGACATCTATCTTTAAGTGTCTGTTCCTGTCGTTCACACACTTGACGTGGTTGTCCGTCAGCTGTTTGATGATCTGACAGTAGATCTCGTCTTTCAGAGGCTCGGCCTTCAGCGCTCCTTCAAAGATCTGGTCGGTCAGCTCGTTAACTGAACGGGTCCGTTTGGACGGATAGTCGCCCATGTACTTCATCATGGGTGGGACAGACGTCAAGGAGGACAACGACCACAGGTACAGAAACAAAGCTGTTATTAATGTGAAGTTTTCACGGTGAAGTTCTAAAGTTCTGATGGATCTGTTGAAGGATATCGATGAAGGACATGCAGGCGTCCTGAGCCAGCTCCTCGTGGTTGACCACCTTCTTCAGCAGCGGCTGTTTGAGCGGCTCTCTGGTGCAGCTCCACATCTTGTCCTTCCCTCGGTTCTTGGTGACCATCACTCTGCTCAGGGTGTGTTTGGGAGGAGGTCTGGAAGAGGCGACATGAAGAAGAACGTCTGATTGGAGCAGGTAGCAGTGAGGAATAAACGAGTGCTTTCATGTTTACGAGATCCTGCTGTCGTTACATCAGTCTACAAGTGATAAGGTGTGTGTGTGTGTGTGTGTGTGTGTGTGTGTGTGTGTGTGTGTGTACCTGAAATGATCGTAGGAGAACTCCTCCAGTGTGTACGGTTTCATCCTCCCCTCGGTCTCCGGCATGACCAGCTGTGACACGCGCACCGACTCCTGACGCTGGTCTGGTGTCATGGTAACCAGAGCCTGATTGGATAAAAGGATTCAGTGGGCGGGGACTATAATGAGTTTCAGAGTCCAGGTGTCTGATTTTACCCTGTGATGAGGACGTCTCTAACGCTGTGAATGTCAGACTCTCACCACGATCTCCTGCTGCGGCCGGGTCATGGTGGGCAGGACGTAGACGCAGTCAGCTGGAAAATCTCCTCTCTGATTGGTTCGTTCATTGACTCCATGAGCCCATCCAGAGTTGAGGACCTGCTCCCCGGTGTCCTGGTCCAACAAGATCAGGTCTCCTTTCTGGAAACTCAGGAACGTGGACTCCTCACCTGCTGTGGGAAAGAGAGGAGGTTTTTGTCCAGCTTTAGTTTTTCTCCTCAGAGACAGAAATAAACAGATTTAGACCCACAGAACATCTGAGGAAGCTGCTGCACTGAACCTCTGTGGAGGTCAGGACTTACTCGGGTTCGGGTTGTCCTGCAGCGCCACCACAAACTTTGACCTCTTCCTCAGGCCCTCCAGGAAGGTCACCACCAGGTCGCGGATGTCTTCGGCGTTGTTGGATGTGAAGGTGTACTCGTCTCCTTTGATGGTGGCCAAAGTGAAGTTCTGACTCTGTAACTTTCCTCCTCTGAAAGACAAAGTCACACACCGACCATCGCTCATGAAGGACTGATGCTTGCTGAGGAAACGTGAGGAGAAGGAGTGACTACAGCTCCCAGCATGCCTCACCTGCTGCTGGAAACTGCAGTGATTTCTGGGAAGGACAGCTCTAAGAGGACCTGCTCCTGTTCGTCCACGAAATAGACGCCGGTCCAGTTCACGGCCACGATCAGGTCGTTTTTAGGCAGACTGGGACCTGAGGGGACAAGGTCAAACACGGCGCCGCTTCAGAGGTCACGGGGTCAAAGTTCTAATCAGAAAATCCAACTGTAACATCTCAAACTATATTTCATTTTAAAGACTGAACATGTCGTTGATGTTTCTTCTTCTTCTGTTTTTACTCGATGATCTCCGACCCTCAGGAGGTCAGCTGATTTCACAGTCCTCTAAAGGGGACCTCTCTCAGGTCTGAAGGGGGTCCTGGATGATGGTCTTTAAGTCTGTTTCTCTTCGGTCTCCATGATCACACGCTGAGGACTCAAAGAAGACCCAGAAACTCACCGGAGAACTTGAAGGCTTCGTAGAAACGGGAGAAGAGCAGAGGCCACTTGTGACGCGCGAAG